TCAATTTTGCAGTGAACAATGTCCAAAACCATCCTAGAAAATGCTTTTTGAAAAAAAACTTGAAATTGCGCTTAATTTCTTCCATTGGTGTACTTTATATAGCCACGGGAGCTCACCGATTCTCGTACCTTCAAGGAATCCTCAGAAACTATAATTTAACTCTTGCTGATATGACTGCAGATCAGTGTTACACTGACGGAGAACAAATTTCTGCTCAAAATTTTTTTGGCAATGATCAAATCAGATCAACATGAAAACAGCTTGAGTCTACAAAATTGTTCTTACTAAAACCCTAAAAGTTGAACTTGAGGAGATTCAAATGAATTTGAGTAGCTATCTAAATCCATCAAATTCGAGGTAAATTGATTTTAGAAACACAAATAGATCCAAAAACTTTTGAATGAATTGACATCAGTTTGCGAATCCTAAATAAATCCAAACTCTTTATGTCTGCGCGGGTAACTAAGAATCTTCAATTGACTTTCAATTGCGTCTAAAACATGCTACTGTGGCTATCTATAGTTTTTTCATACTAGATTGTCGAGGTTATGGAAAAGAGCCGGAATTTGAAAAATTCAGAATAAACTGGCGTGTAACCCACCTCCGGTGCTTCAAACAAATAGTCGAAAAAAAGAATTGCATCCCTTGAGACAACTGTGGCAGCACCCAACTACAGGGTTGGGAATTTGTAGTTTTGTGAGAATTTGTAAATCATATTTTTTCTGAAAAGTTTTAGAAGAAAAATAAAAAAAAACGCCCCATCTCTGAATTTATAACTTTTGAACAATCGCGTTTGAACTCAAAATTGCAATTCCTGAGAGTATCTTCACATCACGCTATTAAAAGGTTGGGAATTTCACACTTTTTGACTCTTTTTAACTCTAAGTTTTCTGAAAAATTTTCAGAAACGTCAAATCTTGAAAACTACACTCATTTGAGCAGTCATTATTTGAGGCAACAATCGCAACCCCTGAGACTACCCTGACAGCACCTCAGCATAAAAATGGAAACGTCAAAATTTTTTAAATTTTCTATCGAAATTTTTTAAAAACTCTGAAAAAGACAAAAAACGTCATATCTCGAAAATTAAAATTAATTGAGCAGTCACATTTGGACGCAAGATTTGCAATTTTTGAAAGTACTTCCGCAGTATTGAACTATAGGGCTGAAAAATTTCAACTGTTCAGTTTTTTAGAGATCAAGTATTTTTAAAAATTAAGAAATCATAAAAGACGTCAAACACTACATAGATTTGAGCAGTCATATGAAAATGTAACGTTTGAAACTCTTAAAAATAACATGACAGTACCCCTTTACAGGGTTAAGGGTTATAATTTTTGAGGGAACGGAATTTTTTGATAATAAACTAGCAGACATAGCCAATGGGCTGTTAGAAACAAAACAAGGAATGCAATTGAAGAAAAAAAATACTGACTTCTTCAAAAAAAATAGATATCCCTAGAGCTCTTTGAAATTATAGAACAATTTGTTTCACACTTTTTATGATAATTTAACTCTATTTGAGAAATATAGATTAAAAAATATACAAATTCCATCTTCTGAATCAGAAGTCAATCACGTGTTTCGCGATTTCTACATTTTTATTACTCGATAGTGGCGTTTGCGTTCTTTCCAACAAAGGAAATGAGCTCAACTTGATAAAAAATCCAATATCAATTCAAAAACAAATATGGTTGAAGCTCAAAAAAAATTTCAAACTTCTCGGAAAAAACTTTTAAAATCGTCACAGCCTATTTAAGAGTCTGAACTATGTTATCGAATCCTAAAAATAGTCAACAGAAAACCAATGAACGATAGAAAAAAAAAACAAATTTGTTTTTGAAAAAATCTGAACTTTCGATTTTTCCAGTAAGAGATAGACGCTGTTAAAGCACTTCGAGTTTCTAGATTAATGACACTTTTGATTGGCACAATTTTTTGATAAATGGGACACAAATAGAGCAAACTTGATTAATAAGTAAATTTTGTTTTCTTTTGCTGCGAGATCTGATAATTTAATTCCATTCGCGCATTTTGCGAAGTCAGATGTCGACTTTTCTGTTCTTTAATTTTTCGCTGTTTGATAGTGGATTTTACCATCTTTTATAAAACATGGCCAACATACAGTTGGAAAAGAATCAATGAATGCAATTAAACGGAAAAAATACCAACTGTTTCTTAGAAAAAACCTCAGCTTTTGAAGTTCGCAGAAAAAAGGATGACCCGTAAGCTCTTTGAATTTCTAGAAACATTTATTCTCATTTTTTCGATTAAATTAAAAAAAAAAATTAAAACAAATCATCACGGTTTATAAAAGAGTCTGAATTACGTTCATCGAGTCTTAAAAATAGCAAAAGAACATATCAAGTAATAATATTGTTTCATCTCAAAGTTTTAAGTTTCTAGAACAGTTTTGATCGGCACTTTTTTGATAAAATTGATCCAAATGAAGCCAACCTGGTTAATAGGTATTTTTTTTTGCTACGAGATCTGATAATTTAATTCTATTTGCGAATTTAGAAGTCGACTGAACAGAAAGAAATTACGGGTTGTTTTTTTTGAAAAAATATCAGCTTTCGAAATCCAAAGAAAAATTGGATGCCCATTAAGCTCTTTGAATTTTTAGTAGCATTTGTAATTCTCACTTTTTCGATTAAATTGGCCCAATACAAGAAAGCTGGATAAGAAAATAACTATTTTTCGCTGAGATAACTGGAAGTTAAATTCCACTTCCGAAACTAGAAGTCGATCACGTTTTTCGTGAACTTAACATTTTTGCTGTTTGATTGTGAAATTGCTTTCTTTTTAACAAAGTAAATGATCTGAAATTAAAAGCAAATCGAACGTCAAATTGCAAAAAAATGAATGTGAGCTTGAACAATTTTCAAGACTTTTCTTGACGAAAAAAAAAACAAAAAAGTAAGGGCGACCTATATAAGAGTTTGAATTACGTTCATTATAGATATATTGAATTAGAAACTTTCTGAAATGAACGTTTTCGTGACCTTCACATTTTTGATGTACGATGGTAGAGTTTTCCTTCCTTTTAACGAAAGAAATGAAGTGAACTTAAAAAGAAATCAAAATCAAACCAGGAAATTGAGATTGAACAAAATTTAAGATTTTTTTCTGAAAAAAAAACATTACGAGGCCAAACTGTGTATTCTCTGCATTGAAAACGGAATCCGCAACAAGCCAAAATCAGATTTGTCGCGGAATCTGGAACATTGCTAGTTTTCATTGATATTCTAAGCTGTTTTGGATTCCACAAAAATTACCTAAATCATTGTACCGCTCAAAATCGCTCCAAAATAGGCAAATTTGCGGAATCCGCAACTGTATTTGCGGAATCCAGAACAGTTTGTGGAATCCACAAACATATGATAAAACATTTGCATCGTTAATTTGAGATGTTGCGGAATCCGCTACTGTAAATGGAATCCGCAATTTATAAGTGGAACCCGCAAATTGTAAATGGAATCCGCAAATTATAAGTGGAATCCGCATTTTGTTTGCAGATTCCATCTACTTATATGTTTATCTGTGGTAACGTTTTAATTTATTGCTTTTATTTAATAGGTATTCACCAGCAAGTTCAATCTCAGCTACGTTGATTAGCTACCAGTCTCAATTCCTGTCACCAACTCCGATCTCAATTTCTAAAACCCAACTTCGATCCCAATTCCTAAGATGATTTGATTTCACTAGAATAGAAATTTTCTTAGAATATATCAATGTTTGAGATTAATGGAATACTGAACTAATTCGATGATTTGCTATACGTTGGGTTTCTAATCACTCTCAACCTTATGACTCCAAATAAAGAATTTACTACATATTTATTGCACATTATTCCAGTTTTTGGGATTCCATCAACCCCAAATACTGACCAGTATTTGGAATCGACAGAATGCCAAATGCTGATCTAATTTGGCGATATGCTGTGTGTTGTGTACACTCTCAACCCAATGACTACAATTACTGAAAATATTCGGCGTTATGTTTCCAAAATCAGTATTTGGGATTTACGCAATCCCAATTACTGAACTAATTTGTCGATATGCTGTGTGCTCCTTACAATCTCATTTCAATGACTCCAAATATTGAATTTATTTGGTGTTGTGTTTCCAAAATACTAAAAGATGACATCCACCAATTTAGGTAACCAATGTCTTAAGACTTGGTTGTGGATTCCGCTGGCAAAGGTTAAGTCTTTGTTTTTATATTCCGCATTGCTAGAGATAAGAATTCCAGCTCAGCTTTTAATTGTTCATATGCAAGTTCAGTATTGAACAAAATTCGGAATCCACTTACAGTTTGCGGATTCCACTTACATTTTGCGAATTCCACTTGCATTTTGGGGAATCCATTTACAGTTGCGGAATCCAGAACATCTAGCTATATTTGCTTGTTGCGGAATCCGCAACAAAACAAATGTGACGACAAAATTTACGTTATAAGTATAAGTATGCGGCATCCACTGAAATTTTGTTTGTGGAATCCGCTTACATTTTGGAACATATTATAAGACTTGTCTCTGGATTCCAGGAACATACTGACACAAAATTGTGCTCCTATCCAGTGCACAGTTTGGCCTCGTAATGAAAAAAAAATGATCACGACCAATACAAGAGTCTGAAATACGTTCACCGATTCTTAAAAATAGCAAAAAAGAACATTAAATAATATACTTTTCCATCTCATTTTGCGGTTAGGACTCATAGCAGGCTAAGTTTTGTTCATCCAGGTAACAGTAATTAGAGAACTTTGCCAAGATCAAGCAAAATCTTGCCAAGTGAAATCTTAACATGAAAGATCGTTCAAGATCTTGGATGATTGTGCAAGATTTCGCCATTACTTGCCAGGCTAACCATGATTTTTAGAAACAATAAGGCTTATTCAGCATTTCGATAACTAAGCGTCTCCTTTGATCCGTTATTAGTTAAAAAGAGAGATAAATATCCAAAGTTTTAGTCTAAAGGTGTTGTTTAGTAACCTACTGGCGCAATCTGACGGACATGCAATCCAAGTGGAAACAGTTTGGTCAGCGTTCACAGCACCAGCGCATCTGTCTGAAACATACAATTTAAGCTAAGGACTCATTAGATAGTTATGCTGGAGCAGTTAGTAGATTCCGGGTTTAGTTTTGGTAAATGTTTATAATGTTTTGGTTTCGGTAATTTTTAGGCCGCCTATTTTAACTGATCCACCTTTTTTTCGCGTTTGGCGAGATATATACTAATTTTGATGCGAAGGCGAGCTTCGAACAAAACGCAATTTATTGGGGAAAAATTTTCCAAAAAGTTCTCAACACGACTTTTTTTGGCCTAACTTTTTTCCAAACCTTCGCCTGCAGCGCAGAAATATTGGCCAAATTTTGTTGGCCTTTGTAGTGAGTTGGGAAAACTCAGAAAAACAGCTCGGTCTATCTTAAAAAGAAGTCGACAAATTTTTTTTGAACCCCGCCCCTCTCCGTCGAGAAAATCCTAAAAACAACTGTTGAAAATTATCTAACGAGTAAGCAACAGCTCTTGTGAAATCAGCATGGTGGAAGTCGCATGTAAAATTTAAAATAATTGAGCGCGGAACTTTTTGTATGAGAGGGTTATTTTTTGCTACCCTGTCTTTCGTGCTGGCAAAAAACACTGAACAGTTCTTTGAAGAACGCATTATGAGGACTGATTTATGATCGACTTTTTTTATAACATAATTTGGGAAAAATTGAACCAATAGGTTTTTATTACAAACGGAAAAATGGAAATGAGAAATTAACAACATAGCCAACAGACAGTTGAAAAAGAGTCAATCAGCGCAAGTAACCAAAAAAAGAATAATGACTTGTTTTTCAAAAAAAAATTCAATTTTTGAATTTCAAAGAAAAAATGATGCTGTTAAGGCTCTTTGACTTTCTAGAACAATTTGTGATTGACGCATTTCTGGTAAAATTAAACCAGTTTGATAAAACTAGATCAAAAAGTAGATTTTTATTTCGCTGGTAAGTCTGAAAGATAATTTCGTCTTTCAAAACCAGACGATCTGTTCCGCTTCAATTCAGAAAAAAGGATTGTGCTTTTGACTAAAAGATTTCGCTGCTTTGTTTTAGTTTTTTTAGCTATTTGAGTGCATAACTACCTAAAAATGCAAGTAACTGAGGATTTCAATTTTTTCGTTTTTCTATTCTGAGAGACAAGCAAACCTATGAAAACCTATGATTTACTGGGTTGAAGAAGGAAAGTTGGAGTGGGAGGAGATACAAAAAGTGGGAGGAAAGTTTTGCGTCGGGTTTTTTGAGCGAAACAGTAATTCTGAGCGCAAAATAGCATGCGCTAATTGCTTTAAAAAGCTGCTCGTTCAGTCAATAACAAAAATTGCCTATTTTTGTTCCGACTTTCGAAGAAAACGGAATGTTTCTTCTCGGAGTGGCTTTTTTCCAGTCAATTTTGGCCAATCAAATTATTAGTTTTCACAAAAATTTCTATACCCCATTGAAATTATCAACTTCCTGCCTTCAAATTTAAAAAGATTTTAACCTCCGATTATTTTTTGTGAAGTTCTGGGATTTGAAAAGTGCCAAATTGGCCATGTTCTGGACTAAATCATGCGCACTTACGAAGTTATTCATATTGCTGAGAGCGTATCGCCATTAATTTATGCGTGGCGAATGATACCGTACAAAACATTTGTTCCAAACTGAGATGAGGTGAGGTTAGCTAATTGGTCAAATTAGTTTCGTACGAGTCAATTTTTAACACTTTACTTTTGTCCAAAATTTATAGGTTTTCAAAAAATTTCTTACCCAAATTTTTTTCGATATGAGCTAAGGGGCAGTCGGAACATTCAGGGCTTTGCCATGATATACAATCAGTCTTGTTTAATCTTTAAAAGCACAGCTAGCAGACAGTTGGAAACTGCCATGGAATGCGAGAAAGTCAAAAAACAATTTAAAAAATTTTCGGACTCACGCTTTTCGGACTTAAAATTTTTCGGAATAAAGTTTCACTTTTGAAACTAGAAGTTGACCGCGTTTTTTGTGAAATTAGCATTTTTGCTGTTCGATGGTGAAATTTGCCTTCCTTTTAAAAGGAAATCGAAATTCAAAGTACGCAAAAAAAAACTTTCCTGAAACAAAAACGTCAAAAAATCATCGCAGCATTAATAAGAGTATGAACTACGTTCATCGACTCTTTAAAAACTAATCAATCGGGAAAGCTGTAAACTAAAATCTTACTTTCGGATCTAAAGGTCGTTCACGGTTTTGGCCACGCCATTTCCGCTTTCGTTTTTATAAAACGTAATTTGCCATCCTTTTAACAAATGGTTTTGAATTGAACCTGAAAAAATCAAAGAAGCCGCAAAAAATCAAGAGGTTTTCCTGCAAAAAATACGAAAAAAATCAGCACCTATGTAAGTGTGTTCAGCAAACAAACCTTGAACAAGCGAGCAAATTAACTGCATTCTTTTAAATGGACATGCTAACAAGCACACATGATATACTCCTTTTTTCACCGAAGTATGACTTCGCACCCCAAAGAAATGCTCATTGCGGCTCAAATTAATTTAAGCATTTAAATCTGAAAAACCCTCCCTAATGTAACTCAGTTACCTTTATACCAGAAGGAATAAAAACCGAAAAATTATGTGAACCAATTAGAATTCAGTTATGAAAAATTTAAGCAGTGGTCCCTGGGGCTTCAATGTTACACTTACGGCCACTAGGAAATGGAAGACACTCGTACTGCAATTCGGTCGGATCTCTCCAGGAATTTTGATCATCAATGAAAGGAAAGATACACAACCCGCAGGAACCCTTCCAAACCTAAATAAAAAGACGGCTCACGGTTTTAGTTCGGTTTTGAATTTTAGAGAAAATCTAACTTTTATAGAAAATTTACAAGAAAATTTAATTTCGGAAAATTAGATTAGAAATTCTCAAAACTCCCTTTGGGTTAGAACTTCTGAAATTAAGAAAGATTCTGAAAACTCACTTCGTTTTAAAACATCACATGACACTCCCAGCAAGTTTTATTGGTAAAACCAGGCGGTGTTTAATTTAAGTTTTTTGAGACGAAGTTGAATTTAAGTTTTTGGTGTGGTGGGGCTGTGATAATTCAGAAAGAGTCTCGAGGGTGTATCTATTGATATACACGGGGGGCAGTGGTGGTGGGGTTTAGGAAGTTGGTTCACAATTAAGGAGTGTGATGGAGGGGGGTAGGTCTTTAGGCATGGACGACGAAGAATAGCAAGGAGACCAGTGGTAAGGGGGTATGAGTACCTGAGCTCTTTTCCGATTTTACCTTTAATAATTTTCGAAAAATTAGATTTAAAGCCTTTCAAAAAAGTAGTTTGTGCTTCAAATTGCAATATATATTAAAAAAAGAGCGTGAACACGTGAACGGATATGGGACAGCATCTTTTTTCATGCAAAAATTGCCTGATGATCAGTTTACAAGGAGGAAGAGGAGTAGGAAAAGATGGAAGGGTTGGGGGAAATTTTGCAAAAATTGGGCAGAAATGTTGCTCAAATCTGTGGAAGAGGAGGGGAGGGATGAGGGGGTGATTAGGGGTTTGGGCGGGGGAATATGATGCGGTAGTGTGTGAGCTAGCCTACCTGTATGTGTAGTTCCTCTGCGTCTGGTGGTATGTTTGGGTTTCCGTTGTCCAGTGCAACTGTGAGGGTATCTGTGGTGGACACTATGCTCGTGATGCTTCCCGGGTTGGGAAGGGTTGTCACTGTGAACAACTCATCCGCACTATTCATCACTTGACCTGTCGCTGTGCAGAGGAAACTACAAGCAAAGAGAAACAATTGTAGCCGTCTGCTGTGTAATTAGGACAGAATGTTCACACCATATATGTATTCCATGCTTATTAAAAAAACAATAGTTTTTTTTCTTCAAGTTAGTTTCGATTTTTGAGGTTAATGCGATAAGAATACTATGCGAAATTAAAATTTCATGCCTAGTTTCGATCTTTTACGCTTTAATATGATATGTCCCATTTCGATGATTGCTTCTGAGTGGTATATGTGTGAGGCGATCAGATCAGGGGGGGGGGGGGGGGGGGGGGGGGGTATGTGACCTTCATGTTTTATGTTTTAAGATAGGGAATAGAGCACCCAGTCAACCATCTATGTTTTAAGATAGGGAATAGGTTTCCCAATGTATTAAGATAGGTGATACGTTTCAGAGTTTCAGATGGTAAGACAGTAAGTTTCAAGTTATCTTAACACATAGGTGGGTGGCTGAGGGTCACTAATTCTTATGGAAAAAAATCTAGGTTTAGCCAAATATGCAGGAGAATTTCATTCAATAGGAATTATAACAATCTAATTTCTCAAATTTGGAATTGTAGTTTTCGGGAAAAGTCAAAAAGTTTCAAAAAGGTCAAAAAATTAAAATTTTGATTTTTTGAGGATCATAAATTATTGTGTAAAAAACTTGGGCGTAACCGCATATGCAGGGAAACTTCCTGCAACCCGGACTCTCCATTTAAACCAAAATCGTAGATTTGGTAGGGTCGTTTCCGAGAAAAGTCAAAAAGTTTCAAAAAACAGTGAAAAAATCGAAAAATTAACTTTTCCGAGTCTTTATTTTTGTATAAAAAAATTGGGCGTAATTGTTATGCAGAGCACCCTACCCCAACCCATTCTACTTTTTGAAAATAAAATCTCAGATTTGGGCGGGTTGTTTTTGAGAAAAGTCAAAAAGTTTTAAAGAACGATCAAAAAATCAAAAGTTTTATTTTTTTTCTGAGGCTCAAAACTACTTTTTGTGTTAGATAATTTGGGCTAGGCCGTTTATGCAGATGAATTTGCCACAACCTCTACTATCCTTGAGAAAATGTATAAAAATCTTTAAAAATTTGGATCAAAAGTTCTACCCACACACTGTAGAAAGTCGGGTAGGGTAAAAAGGAGACTAGGGGACTTTGCAGACACACATTGGAATTGGCGGAATTCCCACTGTTACCATTTTTTTTAAATGGTAGAGTAGTTTTTGAGAAAACTTAGGTTTTTGAAAAAGTGAAAAAAGTTTCCAAAAAACTAAAATGAAATAAGATAAACCAATCCCATACATTTTCCTAATACCTAATTTCATCATACAGAAACTTGAAAAATGCTCTTTTAAAAATCAATGAAAATTTTATACCGGCCTCAAAAACCTTTGAACTTCAAGAATAACTCACGTTGTACACTTTTAGGATAAAAATATTTTAATATGAGAAAACTGGAAATATAGTTGAAAAAGTTGAGTTGTGCTAGTTGAAAAAGTTGAAAAAGTAGAAAGCTGAAAATTCAGTTTGTTTTTGAACCTAGAAATTGATCAAGTTTTTACACTTTTGCTGTTTTATAGTGAAGTTTGCTTTCGTTGTAACAAGAGGAATCAACTAAATTTAAAACGAAATTTTAAGTCAAAAACGTAAATTTCAGCTTCAACAAATTTGGAAATTTTCAGCTTCAACAAATATTCCTGGAAAAAAACGAAATTTATTGAAATTTATTTATTCATACAAATAGAAGTAGCCAACATCCAGTTGGAAAAGAGTCAAAATTTTGAAAAAACAGGTCAAAAAAGGCATTTGATTTTTTTTGGCGCGCACTGTCCTCAAAGTTAGTATATATTGGCGCCGAAGGCGCATTTTGAAAAATTTTAGGGTGGGGCGGTCAAAAATTGGTTTCTTAAAAAGGGGGGACCATTTGGGTTGACAGGGGGTCGAATCCCCGAGGGGAGGAACTTAAATCCGCCCCTGGTTTCAGATAAGTGAATATGTGGAGGCATATGGGTTTTACGTGGTGCGGACACTGATCATGTAAGTTGAGGCTGCAGATAGAGAGGTGATGTTGTAGGGCATAGTGGAGGTGCTGCGGGTGGACCCCATCAGCGTCACCAAATAGCCAGTGGACACGAAACCACTTGCATGGGGGGAATCACAATTAAGTTCCAGTGAGTCCACCTCCAACTGGCCAAAAAAGCAGTTCTCAGGCTTCTCGGGGTCTGAAATAAAACACAGCAAATCAATAAGTGGACATAGTCCAGGGACACTGGGAAAAGTGATCATGATAGGCTCAAGGAAATCAAAAACAATTTTACCTTTTTAGGAACTATTTAAGTACTCATTTTGAAAATCATTTTAAATTAGACTGCTCACAAATACAGAATTCAAACCATTCTGCTTAAACCAACAATTCTCAAAACGATTCTTGAAAACAAATAAGTAGTTTTGTGGATTGACTAGAATCGTAAAGGCATCTCAACTGAAAAGATTGCCAAAAATACTACCAGCTTAGCAGTTTTTTTAACTATCTTTTTTAGAAAAACTAACACATATTTCCAGACTTAATCAAATATTTTTTTTTATTTTCCTGTAATTTTGGTGGTGAATATCAATGAGGTTCGAGGGGAAAAAGAAACAAGTGATTTGGATGGATTTTGATTTTGATTTAAAAGAAGTAACGATTGCGATAATTGCGAGGTATAATATAATAAGTAGCAAAAAGTTCGGATTGACAAATAATTTTAAAGAGCAATGACCTTTTTCAGACAATTTTTGCACGCAAAAGCTAATTTTTCAGACAGACATTATGCCTCAATGTCATCTAAAAACTCAAATTTGCATGCAAAAAAGATGCTTAAAATTGGCAGATTGCTCTTTTTAAATCTTTCTGACTGTTCCAACTTTTGCAACTCTATGTTCAATTTGCAAAAATATGGAACAGACAGAAATGATTCAAAAGAGCAACCTGCCAATTTTGAGCAACTTTTGCATTCAAGTTTGAATTTTTAAGTGACATTGAGCCAGGTTTTCTGTTTGAAAAATTAGTTTTCATGCAAAGGTTTGCTGAAATAGGTCCTCATTTGCTCTTTTTAATTAATTCTGTCTGTCCCAATTTTTGGGAACTCTCCATACTCACATGTGCAGACTGTGACTTCTGAAACTTCTGACGTCACGCCTTCCTTCCAATAAGCGTAGGCTTTGAATGTGTACTCTGTCTGAGGTTTCAGTCCCAAATCAGTCACGTAGTTCCATTCGGTCCCGTCGAACGTTTGGTCGTGTGTAGTGTTCAGGTCGCTCTCGTCGTCGTAGTGTAAACTAATGTTGACGCCTTTGAAAAGATCGCTGGAGTTCAATTTGTACTGCAAGAAGATACTTGTGCTGTCAACTGCAGTTGCACGCAGAATTGGCGGAAAAGGAGCTGAAAAAAATTTAATAGAAAAAACCTGGCCAACAGACAGACAGTTGGAAAAGAGTCATGAACGCCAGGAAACCGAAAAAAAATAAAACTTAACTCTCATAAAAACAACTTTCGAGTTTCAAAATTAAAAATATATGGCAGTAAACTTCTTTGAATTTCTAGAATAATTTGTGATTGAAAGTTTTTTTGATAAAATTAGCCCAATTTGAGAAATTTGATCAAAAGGTAAAGTTTCGATAATTTTGCTGGGAAGTCTGAAACTAGAAATCTGAGACTTTTTCCGATAAAAAACACACAAAAAATCACCAAGACATACATAAGAGTAATCACTGCGTTCATTACTCTTAATATTTTAAAATTATAGCTGTTTATCAACAAAAAAATTATAAACCAAAATACCAAAATACGAGCTGCTTAGCTTTTTTACGGGTAAGCCAATGTTGCACCCCTACCTTAGAACTGCATGCAATAGAACTACATGCTACTTTTAAGTTATTTTTTGGGCTGAGGAACAACTAAAACATCAAACAACTGACATTTGTTAACAAAATACATAATACTTGACAAAGGCTTTGGTGCTTTAAAAATTCAAAAACTTCAGATAGTTTTACAACTTTCTTGATAATAATTATTTGCGACATTTGAGAGTTTCAGCACAATACATATAATAGATAGAAAACATAATTGAAAAAGCTTAACCGGGTGAAAAATGAAGAAATCTTTTTTGAAGGCGTAAATTAGCCAGCATATCATAACTAGTTTTAGAGGTTTTCTTGCTGTGGAAACGACCTCACAAACAATATAAGGAATTTAAATTTACTGTGTCAAATTAGTTCTTTGGGAAGCGTATGGGCCTAGCTTACTGATTATGGAACCTAGAAATGACAAATAACAAAACTACCAGAGTAATTTGGTCCAGCATAAAAAAATGGCAAAAAATTTATTAAATAATTTGCGCTGATGATCGAATTCTGTCAAGAAAGGAATCATTCTACCAAGTATTTTAGAAAAATTACTGCTAATTCCACAAACATGAGTCTCATTAGCAGTTTTGTGGTGTGCAGCTCCCAGATTTTTGTAATAAGCTCCCAACAATTTTTAATTATGTGTCGTGACAACAGATATGACTGTTTCTCGACGCTGAAACGAACCAAGTAACTCTGTTAACTCTGTTATTTGTCAATTTTGCTTATCGTCTAATTTGCTTGTCGTCTAATTTCTCAACCCCCATTTCAATCCGGGAGGTACAAAAGGGCGGATATTATTAAGTAGATCTTCGTTTTGTTGACAAGCTATTGGCACCTTGTTAACTAATAATCCCCCTCTCCATTGAGGGGGAGGGAACGAAACCTGAAATATTAATTGTTGTGACAACATGTATAGGTAAAGAATGTGTTGTTGTACCAGAATGGACAAGAAATGATGTGTTCTGGGTGGCCCAGTCTCCGTAGACCTTGATTGCGGATAAGTCACCAACTAAGGCGTTGCAATCTTCAAAACCCGATCTGAACTCATACAGGAATGTCGTTGATGAAAAATTTGAAGATCCAACAAAGCTAAAATCAAAATTATGCTAAAATTAAATTATGTTCAGCAGTACCAAACCCTTGTTCCGTTTTGATTGTCCAAACTGAGCGAATTTTTAATGAGCTCCAATTTTTGATGAAAACTTTGATTCTCTTTTGATGTAAGCTATTTATATTCGATCATTATGATCCAATTTTCAAAGTAGCCAAAAGATAATTTTTGAGCCGTATAACATAAATGACTTAATGATCTGTGTCTTTGTAATAGCAAGGTACTCAAAGGGTATTCTGATTATGGAGGCACTTAAAAAAGGAAAATTTTCAGCCAATCAGAATTTTTAGTAGTTAACTTACTACTAGCTAAATTACTATTGCACAAAACCGTAGTCAAATACTGGATTAAAGCATTGCAGCAAAATTTTAAAATTTTGCCGTATATAACATGCAGATATCGAAAAAAAAATGATTTAAATTTCAATTTTTTTGAGATATTATTTTAGCTCAACCATTATCTAGGATCATTGCCCACCGTGGATCATAAGCTCGAGTTCAGTTGATTTGTTTGTTTCTGATATTTGCTCAACACAACGATCATGATTTTAATACAAGGCTATAAATACGGCTATAAATACATAAATAAAAGTGAGCAACTATCTCGTGTTCGAAAAAAATCGATCTATTGCGAAAAAAACCTTGTAACATTATAATCCATTTTTAATTTATTATAATCGATTGTTATTCACTTTTGTAGACACCGGCAATGAAACTAACCTATAATCAGTTTTTATTCATGGAATTCCAATGCGGGTAGCGTCGATTATATTATTTAAAAGATTAAAGAAAACAATTTAATGATTCCCGGGATTCAATTTTAGTCAATTGAAGTGCAATAACAAAAATTTCTAGTTCAAATGACTTTTTTTGGTTCTTTGAACCTTGGAAGCTATTGGAATTCATCTAAGCTTGGACTGATTTGTGTTTGTTTTCACTATCTGCAAGCAATGAGTATGCATTACGTTTTTCCGAGATCAAAACAGAGCTGTTGAAAAATACATCATGAAATTATACGATAAAGTATGACTTGACGAATCTCAACAATGGTTGGCAATGGTTAAAAAAAGTTGTTAGAGTTGACGACTTTTTCAGTGACCTTAAGGTTTTTTAGCAATGTCATTCCAAATAAAGGACTTTTTCAGATATTTTAAAGTTTTTTTTGCAACTTTCTCTGTGTTTACTTGAGCTCAACTATTCTCGTATTTTTAAGTTATTGTTACTTGAAACACGTGAGCATTGCTCTTCTGATAACACGTGATCTTTTTTAAAAGTGTACCCAATAAAATTTTATTGTTTTGTTTTAATTTAAAATCGGAATTCTAGAAATACTAGGGTTAATTCCGATGCGTCTTCGACATCTGCTCATTCTCCAGCCGGTCATTTTGAATTTTATTTCCCTTATAAATTATTCGTTTTCTTTGAGAAGTTTTGGATTTTTTAACATTTTTGATTTATGATTTACGAGTTTTAATTTGAGTTTTTTTAATAAATGAGTCGTTAAAAATATATTTTTTGACCTTTAGAACTGTATCGAAACAATGGTAATAGTTTTAGTCCAAACTATTTAAAAAAAAAAATCAAATAATTCTGTCGTAGTGATTTTTTTTGCTCGTTAAAAACCTATAAATATTCTTCGTACCGCGTTTTTTTTTCTATGATTTACGTGCAAGCGTGTAAAGCACTTCTGGCGCTTGGACCAGATAACTAAAAGTGAAAAATGCTTTTCTATAAAGCATATGAAAAAAACATAGCCAATATTTGAACGCAAGTAAGCAGAAAAAAATATTGACTTTATTTTTTGAAAAGTCCCAACATTGTAAAATCAAAAAACAAATGGCCTTGAAAATTGAGAAAACTTGAAAGTCTTTGAGTTTTTTGAACAACTGATGGCTGCCATTTTTTTAAAAAGTCAATTCAGTTTGAGAAAACTGGATCTGTAGGTAATTTTTTTATCATGAGAACACTGTAGTTCCACTTTCGAAACTAGGTTGATTGCCTTTCTAGTAACCTTTACACTTTTGCTGTTAGATTGTTGAGTTTACCTTTCTTTGAACTTGATTGAAATTGAATTGAACTTCAAAGAAATCAAAAGTTGAAACACGAAAAATTAAAGTTGAGCGTAAAATAATTTATCTCCTGATTTTTACCGTAATCTGATACGTTGAAAAAAAATTAAATATGGAGGAGAGATAGAGAAAATCGCATTTGAAAAAACTAGATTTTCAAAAAAATTTGTGAAATATGAGCTGAGTTATTTTGAGAAATTGATGATCAAAGTTTACAATCCTGTTGTTTATCTGATGTAAAAAATTTGTACTGAAATTTATATAATGAAATAAGTCGTGATAATAACTTTTTCCCTTTTTTCTGAAACTTGTTTTCGTTGCAGCTTGAAAAAAATCAATGTGCTCAAATATTTTTCTTTTTCTTATAATGCTTTCTCGACTTTTGTCCTGAATCTCAATCAAATTTGATTAAATGAACTCAGTATTGGTTAAATGAACTAACAAAATTTGAGTTTTTCTTTTATTATTTTTCTAAAAAGACATTCCACTTATTTCGAAGTCAAACTGTGTTTTCTGAGATTGTAAGTGGATTTTGCCATGAACAACCAGGGCTGTCGCGGAATCTGCAACAAGGCTTTTAAAACATTTTTGCTGTTGTGGAAGCCACGGCAAATGGCTAAATCTCAAGTCAGCTCCAAAAAATAAGCTCTTTTTTGAATTTTTTGCTCATTTTGCTTTTTCCACTCTTTGGGGATTCCACAATGTGTCGACAATTTTTACCTTACATTACTCACGAGGGTTCTGCTTACAATTTTTGCATTGTTTAGGCCGTGGATGCGGATTTAAGAGACATACAAACAGCAAGCGATGCGCCTAATGCGAGCACAATTTGACCTAGTAATGCTTGGGCAGGACAAAGAACTTACTGGTAACTAAATTTAAATTTAAGGTATTTCAATTTTGAGTACACTTCAATCTGGCCAATATTTTTTTGACAAAAAGCGTTCAGTTGGGAGAGTGCTTCTGAAAATGAGCAATACTTACGAAGTGGATGAAACATTCTCTAGGGGGGTTGTCCCGTCTATTTTAATCTGGTACACCTCGGCATATCCCTCAGTTGGCACGGTCCACGTGAGTGGCATTGAGTCCCAAGTTGTTGCCGAAATGTTCTGTGCAATGTTGGCTGGGCCGTTAGGCACTGAAAAGTACAGGTTGATTTATTCGGGCCAAGTTACAATGACATGTTCAACACACTAGTTTTCCGATCCTCAAATAAACGTAAGAAAGTCTAAAATAGGTTGAAAAACTGGGTTAATACGCAAACTTTTCATTCCGCTGGGAAACTTTTCATTCCGCTGAAAACTAAAATCCATTTTCGAATCTAGAAGTTGATCACGTTTCTAGTGACCTTTACACTTTTGCTGTTCGATAGTGGAATTTGGCTTCTTTTCAACAAAATGAACTGAACTTAAGAAGAAAGCAAAATAAAAATCCTCGCACGCAGTTTATTCCCTACTTGGCCATAAAAAACTAAGCTTTGAGCGTGCGTATACACGCACATCGCTCAATTTATTCAGAATTTCTCGAAAATTTAATTTGAAAACTTTATAGGTGTGAACAAGAATTGCGAAAAATCGTTGAGAGGTAGAGACGAAAGAAAATAGACGAAGAGGAGCTCTACGGTGGGGGGGGGGCTAAGACAAGACAGTGTTGTCGCTAAGTTTTTTCCGAGAAAATAGTTCCTGGTGAATAATATCAGCCAAAATTAAGTTAATCGCTTACTACCAAAACTTCTTCACGATATTCAACCAATCAAATGATACCGGAGACTGCAGCCCCAAATTTTAGTTTCACTACGAAAACTTGTTAACACCTTCAAATTTTAGAATAGAAAGTTGGAAGCGTAAAAATTACGTGTGCAAAGGACATAGTTTGAGCTGCTGCTGACATTTGAACAGAATGCTTCAAATGCCAGGTCATATTGACAGCCGGCAGCCAATCCATTAAAATTAAATGTGGTGTCGGATCTGGACAAATTTCCGGTTGCGGATCCCGTGCAGTAACTTGTGTCGTCTGCACTGAGATTGTACCTGGCATACTCATAGTAACCATCAGGCTCGACTCCAAAGTTTGTCATGTAGCCGACAAACGATGTATTCGAGAAGAGGCTGGCCTTCGGATTTGTGGGATCTAAATACAAAACACACCAGACCTTGCGAAATTATAAGTCATTCTACAGGTGTGAAAGTTCCGATCATGCGTTTTTTCCCACTCCTTTTACTTGTCTCAGATAGATTTTATCGTTCATAAGTAATACACGATACTTGTTAATGTACAAAACTTGGAAAAAAATGAAATGGAAAAAAAGTTCTGGAAGGAATTATGGCGTAGGATAAAATAGAGATGTTCAAGCTTGTGATTGGTCATGACCTGGATTCGGAAAAAAAGATTCGGAAAAAGATCTGGATTCGGAAAAAAATTTGTATCAGCGTCGAGAAAAAACTGGTTTGAATCTTTTTTTTTCAAACTAATAGCACAAAACTTTTCAAGCTACTTTGCCTCTTTTTTCATGTTTTGAACTAATTTAATAGCGGTTCGCTGGGGAAAAAAGTACAAAAAGAACTAACAAAAAACAAAAAAAAAACAAATAAAATTTTTTCTGTTTGTAAATTTTCTTTTCATTGCTGACTTTCTTCACTTTGGTCAAATCATTCTGTGGTTGTATAGTGCTGGCATATATCAAGTTCAACTTACACGGGCAGATCTTTATATCGTCGTTCGTAGTGCTTGGTCCTATCACGTCCGTAGCATAGTTTTCATGGAAGCATTTAAGGTAATAGCGTATTGTGTACGGACAGCCCGGTATTAAATTGGCCGTGGAATTTACGGAGCTGGCATTGACGTCCAGAAGTTCTACTTCGGCTCCACCGCAGCCTAGATGCGGGCGGAAAAAGAGATCGAGAGTTTGGAAAGTTCCATTCTTCCCGCCTAGTCCATTCACCAGTACCTGCGTTGTGCTGAGGGCGGTTCCGGTGTAGTTGGTCAAGCCCTCGTTAGGAACTGAAAGCATTGAAAGATCGAGATCGAGAACCAAGATAACTGAATTTAAAATCTCTTTTACTATCCCCCTTTGATACCTAATAACGAACTGCCAACCTTATAATGAAATAGTTTAACGGTTAAGCATTTGAGCATTTTGTTCCTTGTAACGAATCTCCCAATTTTCGACGCACTGGTCTGTCTGCTTACGCGGCTGTCTACTAACTGACCGCACATCATCATACTTAGAAAGAAATCATCATGCAAAGAAGGAATATCAGATGATCTATAAAAAGTTTGCAGTTTAAGTGTTTGAAAGTCAAAATTCAGTTTCCTTCATTTTTTCAAAGTTAAGAAATTGGACTTATTTTAATCCACAATTTTTCTAGAAAAGAACATTGCAGATTAATTATGAGATCCGAAAAAGATTTTTTTTGTCACATCTGAACTAACCAAAAACAATCGAGAAAAGCAAATTATCAGATCAGAAGCTCAAATCTGACAGAAATCACAAGAGAGGTGGGGGACTTGTTTGTCAGATCTGAACTAACCAAAAACAATCGAGAAGAGCAAAATATAAGATCAGAAGTTCAAATCTGACAGAAAAGATAAGAAAGATAGTGGGAGGGGAGGCCGGGGGGAGGGGGGTACCTGCACATCCGTCTTTAACTGCAGTTGCGACAGGGGATGTCTCGTTTCTGGTTCCTGACACACAAGTGGCCGTGTAGTGGAGAGTGTAAACACAGCCGGGCATCAGCCCAAATACGTCACTGGCACTCTCATACACATCATTTCTGGTGTGGTTACTCGAGTCCGGACACGCCTTCCCGTTCGCATCTAAAGAAACAACCCGTTATAAAATGTAAACAATTTTTACAAGCGTTTTCCTGTATGGAAATGTAAGAGAAACTTATTTTGTGTACGCAAAAATTTTTATTATTTTTTTGTGAAATTCTATGACAAGCATTTTTCATTTTTCATGTACGAAGTTCAACCCCGGCAAATTACCTTGAAAAGCATAGACTAACTGTTTCACGTGATAGGCCAACTTCGAACGAAGTCCACTGACTTACCAACTATAAACAAGGGGACGACAGTTGGGCTAGTTGGTTGATTAATACGTCGATATCCTCGTTTTCTCAAATGGGCTATTTAGCTTTTCCATTTTTGCCACTGAACCTTTGTTTTTCTAGTTAAACCGCTTCAGTTTTCTAAGTCCGTACTCGAACCCTCATTTTCATTATACGATTCTTCGCTTTTCTAATTCAGCCAGTATATCTTTGTTATTTTAATCATTTAAAGATAGTTCAGTTTTCCAATTTTTTAATACGCTATTTCGCTTTTCTAAAACTTCCCCTGAATCCTTGTTTTTCTAAATCCTCTCATGACTCCTCTTATGACGATGAAAAAAACGTTAGTAGGTTTCGAAAAAACAAACGCTAAAAATTTACGTCAAAAATTCACAAAAAAATTTAAACTGAACGAAGTGTAATTCTGCAGAAAATTTGGAGCAAACAAAATAGAGCGTGATAACCGAATGAAAAAGGCAGCGTAATGTTATGAAAACTTATACACACGATTTTGAACTTCATTTTGTCAAAATTCTCACTCTCCCACAGAAAATTGCCTTCCTCCATCCTGCAAACCAAAAAGTTTTCAATCAATTTTTCAAAGCAAAAGCTATGTCAGATCAAATTGTACCGCCGCTGGTGAATACTCCCCCAATTATTAACACTAACTCATCTGAACCTTGGAAAACGAACACCGAACCAATAAAACCAGACAGAAATTTAAACGCTAGCCCAAAAACAAGAAAACTATTGAGGCTATCGACGAGTGAAGACATGTTGCAACAAGAAAGGAAGATGTGAAACGATGTGAGACTAGATATCTCAGCCTCCTCGAAGCACACCGTCGAGGAGGCTGAGATATCTTAAAAGGGGTCAGTTTGCGATAAAAAGCCTTGCATTGCAAAAAATCGGGCGGTAGAAGATATGTAGAGAAATTCAAGTGCACGGCCAGAATTGGATTGAGTGTATTAAATCAGATAAAGGTTTGAAACCATTAGCTACTAAAGAGTACCTAGAACGATTACCATCCATCATTGAAGCAAATCAACAATTAGAAATGGACTTTGCTGGAACACTTCCTATAATATAGACCTGAAATAAAAACATCTTAGCGTGTATAGATAGATTTTCTAATTTTTCATCAACCCAATTAACCTCTAGTATATCGGTTAGATCAGTAAATAGTCGCATTCTATTAAATTTCTACTCGCTCTGAAACTTTAGATGAGTACCCGCACCCAGTTTCAAGAGATACTAATCAATTTTTTTATGATTTCAGTAGCTGTCATAAAAAACTGTAAAATTGTAAAATTCAGTAAAGTTATAATCAATTATATTCAATTATATTCGATTGTTTTTTAAGACATGTTTCAAGCGATTCTTATCGATAATAATTGATTATTTGTAACTTTCAAAGTTCTATATTTTGAACATCGGTAATTTTGAAGTTTGATATGTTGAAAAAATAAAAAACTGAAAAAACCATGAAATGTGCTAGAAATTAGCGTATTTTAACATGAGTCATACCAATTGAATATGTCAGCCCCAATTACCTGAAAAAATTATTTTAAAAACTGAGAACCCAGAGTATATAAAAATAATAAAAATCGAGTAAACTTTAGATAGTTATAACCCTTTCGGTTATTTTTAACCCTTTGTTTAGTTATAACCCACACCCAGATGACCCAGTTTGCCACATCTCCGCTGGCGCAATAATTATTTTGATTTAATTGTTCGGAACTGACAGTAAACATGGTAAATAGTGTTCGCAAACAAAGAAGACATCGTAAAATTACTTCATTTGAGTTCTAGTCTACTGGGAGAGTTGATTGTATACCCTGGAAAAATTTTAAGATTTAATTTGTTTTTTTTTCGTCTTGGCAAAAATTGCATTTTTTTTCAAAAAAAAATCCCAGCCAATGCTCTACTCGATACCGCGACATCTCGCAAGAAAAGACAACTCGCAACAAAAAACAACTCGCAAAATTTAAGAAAAGCGACAACTCGCAAGTTTTTGAAGCTAATTGGAAACTTGATACTCTCGGTTTAAGGTCGCCAGTGGGCGCTCTAATATTGTATAATATCCTAACCTCCGTTGGCAAGCTCGCAACAATTTGGCGCGACTGCGACGGTGGGTGTATTGCAAGTTGTCTTCTAATTCGAGTTGACTTTTTTTATTGCGAGTTGTCTTTTCTTGCGAGCTGTTGCATTACGGCTCTGGTCTTATATGAACAGAGCAAGAAACGGGATAATTTTCGAAAAAAATGGAATTTCTGCCAAGAACAAAACACAACTTAAAATTTAGCCCAGAGGGCAATCACAAAGAATCAAGACTGGTGGAAAGGTTGATAGAAAGAATTGTAGAATGGCTGATGGTTATGGCTCAGAAATTCCAAAGCCTTCTCTAACAGTAGCACGATCGAAAACCCTAAAACGATGGAGAAATGTGACCCAAAAATTATTAATTTTTCACTGTTTGAAACGCATTTTGAAAGAATTCCATATGCACCAAATACCATATGCCATAAAACGGTTAAATTTCGTTCATCAAAAAATTTGATTTCCAAAAAAAACTGTTTTAAAACCCTTATTATGTCCAGATATGAGGGAGATGAGCTGCAGGGAGATGACAATTGACTGGGACGCTCTAGACCATAAAGGGGACAGCCATTTAGATGATGATACGTCATCATCTTCAGAAGACGTGGTGAATGCAAACAAAAAATCTCCACAGGTCCCCGAGGAAGTTGCTGTCCAGGACAGAAAAGAAGAAAGCACTGTAATGAGACCGGAAAGAGCAAGTCAAATGAGTAAAATTTGTGCGACCAAAATTCTTTGAAAGACAAAAAACCATCCCGAAAAGTCGGTTTCAACAATTCGAAACTAAAACATTTTGAAAGAAACATGCAGGCCATATTAGAAAAACTACGCATTGATAGAAAGGGGAAGGAAGAAAATTAAAAGAAAAAGCTCAGAGAACCCCACCTCTCGATCCAGGCAACCCTGGCAGGCCGTCAGAAGAACGTGAGATTACCGTCCTGATGTCAATTGGCGAACCGAGGTTACCTCAAATTTTAGAAATCTCTACAGAAGTTATCTCTGATAATGATGCGGGGGATTTGATATCATCGCAGGAGCTGCAAGCAAAAGTTTTAGATGGTAAATCCGAGAGGGAAGAAATCCAACCTATTGAAAGTCGTAAAGATTTTAAAATGGAAGTCAAATCCCTTCAGAAATCAGTAGAAATCGACAAATCCCCGGAACGAGACATAAAAAAGAGCCCATTGGGACCAACTCCAATCTAAAATCTCAAGATCTAAACCAAGCGATCAGGAACCTTTAAATCTAGTTTCAAACTTTAACCCGACAGAAAGGCTACGTCTCCGACATCGAAGCACTTTGACCCCATCTGAATCAATTATAGAACCGCTGGCTTTTTTCCACCCCTCCACGTCTGAAAATATCCATTTCGATAGTTGTTTCACAAGTTATTATGCCTAATTTCGTGAAATATGAAGATTAAAGAATTTGTTCACCAAGCAAATTGTTGTTACGTTAAGACAATAAGGTCAAGATTTCTAGAGAAGCCACTGACGATCAGAAATCGATTACTTTTAATAAATGCTTTAGTCATAAGCCATCTGCACTACCTACCCAGCAATACTTTTGCGCAGTTTAACAACGAATCTAACAAAATTGCTTGAAAAAAGACTGAGTTGGACAGTGAAGACCTGCTGTACAAGAGAAAGTTTGATTCTTCATTCGATCATGAGCTGGTCTACAAGGTACTGCCAGGTTTCCTTGTTTCTTGATTGGAAAATAATCTATCATCTATGGAAAATCAAACAAAAACTATTACCAGCATACACAATAATCACGCACCAGAATAACAAAATTGATGAGAACAAAAGAATTAAAAAACTACATTTTCATGCAAAATTCAGCAGTCATTATATCGAAAATTGTTTTTTTTTTTATTAGAAAAAAATTGGTTCTAATTTGGAACCAAACAAAACGCAATTTCAAACACAACAGCTCAACTTACAAGACTATGAAATTTCATTTAAGTGTAAGGAATTTTTTTCTATCTGTTTTTAGTGAAAATCCCTCTATGGCAACCTTTGGAAAAGCATCATGGAAATATTTCAAGTTTATTTGAAGTTAAAACTATAATCATTATTATATTGTTTTATAAATAAATGAATAACCGAGAAAAATTGCGTGATTTACACTTGCTGAACAATATTAATTATCATTTTGCAATTTAAGTGTTGATCTTTTTTGACAATTTTAAAATTGTTTTTCAAAGCTGAACTTCAAATGTGGGGAGAAAGTGAAAAAGAGCCCAAGCGCTAGCCATTGAGGTTTGAAACCCGCCGGTCATGTTCGTCGACTGAAACACACCTGATTCCTCTCCGATAAAGTGCCCAGATGCTTGTAGATTTTTGTAGTTTATGGATTCATCTCGGCATTGTTGCTTCGTCTTGCATACATTTTAGTTCAATCTTAAGGCAATTTTCTTACTCTCACTTTTCTAAACTAGTCATAGTCTAGAACAGAATCTCAACCAAGTCTCACTTCAATCTATTAAATTAACCTTAGTTCAATATAACCTTTGTAGCTAATTTTTAGCCTCGTTGCCAGTGGGCTTTGGTATCTGAGGTTCTTTAGTTGTCCTATTTTTCTATCTTTTAGTTTTCCTTGTCCGCAGAGTCGCTTTTTGAAATCTGCCTTTTTAACTTTGCTTTTCAGATCCTCCAATGAATGCTCGGCCTACTATGTCTTATACTGAACTCTCATTTGACGAATCCGCAACTTCGCTTTTCTAACGCTGTCCCGAATCCTCGCTTTCCTAAACCTGCCTCTGATTCCTCTGTTTTCATCCTATCCGTCGCTTCGTTTTTCTTTTTCTGCCAGCGAAACATTGCTTTTCCATAATCGGCATTTGTATAATCGGTACCTGGATCCATGTTTTTCGGCTCTGCTTCCTTAAGTTTACATGTAAAAATCCTCCGAAGAATCTTTGCTTGTCTTAATCCGCCTCTGAACACTCTCTTGATTAAGCCTCCACCTCCTTTTTTTTCTATATCCAGTGCTTTGATTTTTTCAACTCAGTCTGTGGCGTCAACAATTAAATTTGTGCGACCTTGGAATGAAAATTCGCCATGAAGATGGTTCTGTCGTCAATCATAATTTAGTAATGTCGTCATCACTTAACTTGATTATGTCATAATCAGAATACAAAACTTGATAATGTCGGTCGTGATTACAAAACTTGGTTAAGTCCTGAATACATAACTTGTTTAATGTTGTGCATACAGAAATTGATTATGTCGTCCATACATAAGTTCGAGCTCTTTTTCCTTTTCCCCATCAGTTTTCCTCGCGGTTTTCTGAACTTCAAAGTCTGGACATCAGTCGCGCCGTGGCCCGCGAAAGCCGGGACATACCAAAATTTGGGCGCGTAAGTCTGGATATGAAGTGGCGAAAGTTTGGAAAATCTGTTTCCAGAGACATTAGCGACCCATGTTCAAATTATGGCGACCAAATTTAGGTATTTCAGTAATTTGGCGACCCATGTCCAGACTTTTGCGACCAAATTTTGGTGTGTCCAGACTTTCGCGACCCACAGTGCGACTCACATCCAGACTTTCCAGTCTCAAACTCTCGGCGCGACTTGCAATTTGGGTCTGCATCCGGATGCGGTGCGACCCACAAAGTCTGGACATGAGTTTGTGACCTCGATCCGGTTATTTGTAAAAAATCACAGTTGGGGGAAGGAAAAAGAGCCTAAGTTTGTTATGTCGTGAATCATTAATTCCGCGTGAAATTTGAGATACTAATGATTGAATTATAGACGATGTGTTATACCTTGTTTCGGTTCAAATATCATGTCGAAGTGGTCGTAAGTTCCGCCAGTGTTCACACCTGCAGCGAACACACTCAAGGTTCCGGGATCGGTCTTGGGGTTGTTCATCACCACATCAACCTCCTCGGGCAAGTTCGGCACTGAAACGGCCCACCCCACTCAACAGAAACAGCGGGAAAACAAACAGTCTTTTCTGTTATACAGCCCATATTTATCAAATTGCAAATAGAGCTTCTATTTTTAGTGAATATCCAGACCTTCTTCCACTGAAACTAACTTGAACCAATCAGGTTTGAGTATTATGGTTCAAGGATTAAAATTTGAAGCAGATCAGTTTTGAGCTGTATAACAGAAAAGACCCAAGCAAACAATTGGAAACAATCGAAAAAGTTTCTTCGAATTAAAGATATCTGTTACAAACAGATGTTACAAGTGACTCTTGTTCTTCCGAATTTTCATTAAAATGCGGAACGTTCATGCTGGGGCGGTTTTTTATTGAGTCAATTTTAGACTTTTTAGCCATATTTTTTTTGACGGAATTTTATTATTTGATCTAAAAAATATTGTTGTCAGTGGAGTTACTCGCACTGGAGTTCCATGAATAAAAATTGATTATATTGTCATTTTATAGTCATTATCTGTAAAAATACAAAAAGAATCGAATATAATCCGTCAAAAAAGGATTATAATCCCAGTATTTTATATCAATATAATTCATTATTATCATAATTTAACCATTATAGTTCATTATGATAATCGATTATAAGGTATTTTTTGAGAATAAATTGTTAAATTTGAAAATTTTCTTAAAGTTATATCCTTTCCTGTTTCGTGCAGTAGGTGCTATGTATTACGTTTCATGAATTTTTACTTGGGGCAAAGCGAATGAGGGGCAAAGTGAGGGTTAGTTTGAGTAGGTTTAGGTTGCGAGTAGGCCGTGAGTAACGCAGAAATGTTGCAAGTTTTTAATTTTTAATCCGTTATATTTATTTATAATAGATTTTAAATGGATTATAATCCATTATAATGGATTTGAATGGATTGTTTTTTTACGAAAATAATCGATTATAATCACAATATAATCGATTTTGCGATCTAAACTTGCAGCAATAATGGAATATGATGACAACATTTTAGACAACAATTTACCATTATAATCGATTATTATCCATGAAACTCCGATGCGGGAAGTTTTTTGAAGGTAATTGGAAACTTTATAACCTCGGTATAAGGTCGCCGGTGGGCGCGCTACGTGCTCGTCGCCGCTTCGCGGTGATAACCGGCTCTGAAATTCGTATAGAATGATACCCTCTGTTGGCAGGCTCGCAACACGTTGGCGCGACTGTGGTGGTGAGTATATTGCGAGTTGTCTTCTAATGCGAGTTCTCTTTTATTGCGAGTTGTCGGATTACGATAATTCTCATTGAGTAACCTACTATATTCTTCGTTCTATTAAAGCGTAAGCAGCAACATTATATAAGTACATATAAGAAAAATAGTTTTTCACAAATAATCAAAATTTCTGAAGTTTTTTCGATGTTTTATAAGACCTTTCTTTCAACTAAAAAGCTTGTCATCGACAATAGAGGGCAATCGGAACATTGAACAAGAATTTTGCACCGATCCACAAGCAGTCTTGTTTTTTTTAAATCTGAAGTTTTTCACAAATAATCAAAAATTCTGAAGTTTTTTTTGATGTTTTATAAGACCTTTCTTTCAACTAAAAAGCTTGTCATCGACATTAGAGGGCAATCGGAACATTGAACAAGAATTTTGCACTGATCCACAAGCAGTCTCGCAACAACCTACCGACTAATCTATCAGTTAAAAAATTGGTATAACAATTTGTCTTAAATATTTCTTGCCCTGAGGCATTAATTAAATTTCATTCAAAAAGTTTGAATCGTTATTTTGGTATGACATTATTCTTCAAAATTATCATTTCGATGTGCAAAATGATCAGAAAGGCCCTCCCGAGGTTAAAACCTTTCATTTTGATTTTCCTCCGAAAACAGAACACTCAGCCAATGTTGATTTTCAATTTGTTCCTTGTATCCTTGTAACAAAACAAAAAAATCTTTTTAAGAGATTTTTAAATATCTTTTAAAATTTGGTAATTTTATCCAAAAAAATGTGACAAATAAAACAGAGAACTGAAATTAATATTTTTACAAAATGCTTTTTTAAATTCTTTAAAATATTCTTCATAAAAATCCAGTTAAGTACCAAAAGGGCGCGTACCGACGAACACTAATTGAAAATGAATGAATATGTTTAAGTATTGATGAAAGATTGTTAGAAATTCCCTTTACGTATGTAATTAAATCAGCACTATTATATGCTTTACAACGATTGTATAGCCGATCTGACTTTAGTTCGTATTTTTCTTATTTCTTATCAATTCATATTAATTTCTTATGCTACGCGCTCATTTGGTATTTAAAAAAGCCCACTTATGGTACGCGCTCTTTTGGTACGCGCTCTTTTGGTACGCGCTCTTTTGTGTATGTAGCATTTTTTATCCTTTCAATCTTATTGGTCGAAACTTTGGCCAGTCAAATTACAAAACTATCAATATTGAGTAAAAAGAATACATCGTAGTAGAAGAAGGAGTTAATGTTATTTTTGGCTATGCATGCTTAATAAAATGGTCATGCCAATTGGTATCAAACTCCGCGTGTATCAGAACAAAAAATCTGATTTTATTCTAGTCAGAGAACTATGAGAACACAAGCTCTGATTTTATTCTGGTCTGAAATATAGCAGAAAAACAGCACTGTATCCGTACTAATTCATTACTGCTACAGTACTGCAATTTTGCTCTCTGATTTATCTTTGATCAGAGATAAAGTGCAACTTACCAGAGCCTGATACAGAACTGATATTTCAGTAATAAAAATCTGTATAAATACTGAATTTCTCTTGGACGCTAGCGTGTTGTAACAGAGGGTAGGACTCTATGCGAAACTTGGAGCCGGTTATCGACCACCGGCGACATTAAGCCGAAACTATTTACAATTCCATTTCTTTAAATAGCGCTATTCAAAAATTAACTGAATTGTCAGCGACTGAACTTCCTGTGCATTTTTGGCTGAATTGTTTGAATTTCAAGATGGCTGAATTGTCTTCGACCGAATTGTTTGTGCGCTATCTAACTCAATATTAAACTCATCACGGAACGGTTATGCATGCAAACGACCCAAAATTATATCGAATTACCCCATCATGTAAATTTGATAACTATACAGAAAAAAGTTTTCTAAATTGAATATAATTTCTGTAAAGATAATGTAATCTAACGTTTTTTTTTTTTATAAAATTATCTATTTCTTATCTAATATTGGAAAGTACAATTTCTAGATGAATATAAATAGTTTTTTTTATATAGTTCTACTTCTAAAGCTAACTAGTGTCAGCTTTGTTATTATTTCTTTGTTGTTTCTACTTTCGATTGTATCGTTTTGATTTTTGAGAAAATTAGGTCGTGCGGCTTAGCGGTTAATGCGTTTTAGGAGCGAGAATGTGAGTGAACAAGATTCGAAATTTTTGCTTCCAAACTAATGTTGAGTGAGACACAAAACTAATTGGTAACAGCTTATGTTTTTGATAAGAATTCTTAAAAGTGTTTTCGAGATAATGTCAAACAACAATTGAATTGACAACTTTACTACTTTTCACATCTTGTTCACTAAGAAGATCTCTCAAAATATTTTACAATGCAATTGCTGCATGGAATTTATGCCATTTTTTTGCCATTTCGGAATTATGATATTTGATACGTAATCTTTGACAAGAAATAACAAGACTACCCGTATCATTGTTCTGACTGCTTTTTAAGGTCTATGGAGCAGTAATAACAAAAAAAAGTTGAATGGGAAAAAAATTAGAGATTTTTTGAAAAAACTATCCCGCCACAGGCCATATAAAGTACAAAGTGATAATTTTTGCTCTTATTAACAAATCAATAATGGCAAATAAGCTTCCTTCAAGATTTGGAACGATTTCTAAGACGGCTTAAACCTCCCTTTACGCGTTAATAGCACTAAATGTATCGCGCGTTGATCGTCCCAAATTGCCCAAAATGGCAATCTTTAAACCCTCATAACTTTACGAAAAATGATCACAGGTAAAATATCTTTTCAAATTTAAGCTCAGGACTACAACACCTTTTGAATGATATTAAACTATTCCGTCAAAAATGGCTAGTTAAAAAGTCGAAATTTGTCTGAACAAAAAACCCACCCCGAGCACAAACATTCCGTTACTTTCGTTACGAAAGTCGGAACAACAAGACTTTCGAATGACGATATAGGTTGTCTACATTTTTTGGCGAGTAGTATATGGCGCATGGAGCAAACAGATAAAATAAATATGACCAGTTAAGTTTACTAACCTGTGCAGGTGGTGATAGTAGCAAAGCTGGAAGCGCTATTTACACAGAAGCAGGGTTGGCATTAGACTGATTGTTTTAAATATAGAATCTTTTAATTACTTTGAAAACAAAAACAACATGAAAACAAGGTTCTGACTTAATGACCAGTCCATCGCGACAAAATATAATTGTTTCCAAACTACCGCTCACAAAATTGGGTATTTATGACTTTGCGCAAACTATAAAAATGAGTGTGACCCACGGCAGCTAAAATTTTAAGGGCGATTGGCGCGACTGAAGATTAGTTACCGCTACCGAGACTATTCTCGACATAACGTTGTAAGAATATTAAACATGTAGATTGGAGAAAAACAACAAAAACAAAAAATGAAATTTGTTTGTCACAGAATATGCGATTTAAACGACAAATCACTATTGTAATAAAAGCCAGATCTATGCGCGAACACAAAATTTCCTAAGATAAAATTCTTTTTTTTTCATTGCTTGAGTAGAAAACAAACCAAGTCATGAAATACTCTCTTATTGATTTGCCTTTAGAAAAAAACTACGGAAAATATGAGCTTAAGGTGTTTTTTTCTTTATACGCATTTCGGTTTAGAGCTTACAGTTCTTGACGGACTTTTGTACAGTCTGAGATAAATTAATGCCCGAGCCTAATTTTATCATAGCTTTCAGTTCGAGAGCGTCAGATTGTGTAATTGATTCCCTGCCATGGCAATGAGAAGCGCTCATTTGAACTCTAGCATTGACCCTTGCCATAGCTAGGACACGCTGTCGTTTGACTTGTAGCTTCAGGTTTGCTGCATTTCGATCACTTCGGCTGCGGTAGTGGTACTACTTGAAAGTTCTAGACGCAAATAAACGACTTGAGTTGCAAGAAAAGCTTCGCCCACTAAAATAAATGTCTTGAGCGTGAGGGGAAAAACACAATTCGACAAGCTTTTTAAGGCCTACCGATAGCTCCTCTGCGATTCGCAGGATCCGCAATTATCATTATTTAAAAAATCTAAATGACAATAGTTTGGGTTACTTTCAGTTTTAGTAGAATCAGGTAGAATCAATTTTGACATGAAAAAAGTATGAAGATTTAATAAAGATCAATTTTAGTATGAAAAAAGTACGAAGATTAAAAAGAAAAGTTGAAGATCTTAAATCCCAGCTAAAAACTGATCTAAATCGATTTTAAATCAAGTTACATCCCTTTTTTCCAGTCCTAGTTTGTTTTTATTTTTAGGGGGGTTAAAACGGATTAAAATCAGTTTAGGTCAATTTTTTTTCATTTGAGTTTCATCAGCTTTGAATATGCATTGCATTTTTTTGCCCATTATTTATAACTTAACATCCATAGCGTACAGTAGCAGAAAATCAAACCAAATATTTTTCAATAACATTCTATGATTTCCTTACATATTTTGAGCTCAAAACCTGATCTACATTGATCTTTTTTTATTCGTTTCATAAGTTTTTAGATTCATGGCTTTTTAAGATTTCATTGCCTATTCTTGAGACCAAAATTTGACTTATTTTGACCAATTTTTCGATTTATTACATTAATTTCTGCTCTTAAGCTGATTTACAATGATGATTTTCTATGATTTCAAGCTCGTGTTAGCGAAAAAAAATCGATTTTAGTGAGTCTGAAATTCATCCAAATAGGTTCAAATAGATTTTTAGACACTTAAATCGATCCAAAATTTTCTTGAAAGATCAATTTAAATCGCTATAAAATCCATTTTTGTTCTTAAAATGTACATTGTTATTCGATTTGGATCAATTTAAAAGCGAATTAAAATTAATTTAAAACGATCCAAAATCAATTTTGTCAATGCGGGCAGTAATTCATGTTTCGGACAGTGCCTTCAGCTTTCCCAATAGTTGTAACCCAATTTCGAAAATGGAAATGAATTCCACAAAAATAAGTGGATTGTAGTTTTGTTTTTTAATCTTGAACTGAACCAGTCCTCGCGTAATTAAGAGATATAGCTAAAATCATCAACTAGCAGATGCGGAAATTCAAAGCAAGGGTTTAACCATTTTTAATGGAATCCAATAACGAATCTTATAATTGCTCAAGTAAAAGCGTGGATGTGCCCCTTTACTGTTTAAAATATAAGAAAATTATAAACAATTCAGCCTTATAACCCATGAAAAATTTACCTTAGTTTGTTTTCTTTCTTTCAGTTTTTCAGTTTGGAAAGATGTTCTTTCTTTGAGTATTTGAGATTAGAGAAATTGTTCTTTTTGCAGTATTTGAGTTTCAGCTGGTTAGTTCAAACTGTTGGCAATTTGAATGGTTGAAAAGTTTCACTGATGGCCCACACATTAGATCTAATTTTAGAATGTAGTTTTAAGACGTAAATATATATGTTAAAGGAATCCGCGCACAAAAGGCGGTTTCCGCTGATAATTTGTGGATTCCGCTCACAACTTGCGGATTCCGCTTACATTTGCGGATTCCGCAATCAGCTCAGTTTACTATGCCTATAATTTTTGTATTTGTTTGTGGATTCCACAAACTATTCAGGATTCCGCGAAATTGCCTGTTTTTGGAGAAATTTTGAGTATTTTAAGGCTATTGGTTTAATTACTGGTTTAAGGTAGAAGAAGAAGATCCAAGAAAAGTAGCAAATCTGACTTTGGCCTGCTGCGGAATTCGTTAACAATTCACAAAATGCACAGTTTGGCCTCGTAATGAAATAACTGGCGCGACTAACACGACCATTATTTATTTTCCTTGCTATAATTTTCTGCAATTCATTTTTTAGATGCTGCGAAACATGTTTCTGCTGCATGAATAAGAAAAGGTGTTTCAATATATTACAATAATGCTTCTCGGGAAAATTTACTTTTTTTATCGTTTTTTTTCCGTTAATTATCTGAAGTTTAAAGCTTACTCAATTAGATTAGGAATTCTTCAAAGCCTGTAATTTTTGCCGCCAAATATCACTTTTTGGACATTTGAGATCCTGAGTAGTTGCCAAGTCCGCGACATTATCTTCAGACTTTCGTGATTAGTTTGTAGTCTACCACTACTCGTTTTCAATCTATATCGAGACTAATTTTTAGACTACAATACATTCAATTTTCAGACTTATCGCGGTCGGTTCTCAGGATAGCTATCGCGACTTATTTCCAGACTAATGCGACTCATTTCGAGACTATTTCGACCGATATGCGTTATTTTCAAATTTTTCCAGCAACTATAAAACCCTATCCACATTGGTCTCGGAAAAAACTTTGGAGCGACATCAAAATTTTTGAAACTAGTCGCGGACCTTGACCCTAGTTGCGTGAAACAACTTCAAAAAATGCTTGTTTGAAACATGTTTTCTATTCTATCGTTGCTTCTGTTCTACTTTTAAACATGCCAACCCTGCACAGTAGGGATCTGTTTCGGTTGTATAATTCTGGAAAACACTGAAAGTGTACACAACTCCCGGGAACGCCAAACCACTCACGGTTAGGTCTGCACTGCTAGCCGCAGGTCCATCGGTCGTGATAGCGTCGTTTCCTGAAATAACACAACATCAAAAACTCACTCTCTTTTTTTATCTCCCCCCCCCCCCTCTCTCTCTCTCTCTCTCTTTCTCTCTCTCTCTCTTCCATTTACTCCCTTTCGCAAAAGATAAAAATTATCTTCTAGTAGAGTTAAAAAATTTGATTGCTCAGTGTTTTGGTCTTGGAAAATCTTGCAAAGTTTATGGCTAACCCTGAATTATCCATGAAACATTGTTTCGTCAAAAGCTTGCAAGATCCTGACAAGATAATCATGTTATGTTCCAAGATCTTGACAAGATGTCCATGAAATGAACATATGTACACTCGCGAAAATCTGTTCGCCAAATTTTTAGATCCAAGCTCTTGTCAAGATGCACATGGTAACATGAATCGTGGAATTCTTGAAAAGAGCGTGACAAACTTTGCCAAGATCTTGTTAACATATAATTCTTTTAAGAACAACAAACATAGCAAACAGAGAGTTGGAAAAGAATCAATACGCGCAATTAAACAGAAAAAAAAAAACTGACTTGTTTTTTGAAAAAATCTCAATTTTCGAATTTCACAGAAAAACAGATGTCCTAAAGCTCTTTGAATTTCTAGAACAATTGATGATTGGCACTTTTTTGAGATAATTGGATCGATTGCAAATTTTTTTCAGTTGGAAAATTTGAAAATTAAATTCCATTTTCGAAACTAGATTTCAATCACGTCTCGTTGCGTTTTTTCTTTCGCTGTTCGATAATGGAGTTTGTATTCCGTTTAACAGAAGGAATGAAATGAATTTAAAGAAAATCAAAAGTCAAAAACGCAAAAAAAAAGAGTAAATTTGAGCCTGAACAATTTTTGAGACTTTTTTTGAAAAAAAAAAACGAAAAAAAAAAATCATTACAGCCTATATAAAAGTTTAAGCTACGTTCATCAACTTTTAAGAATTACTCATCAACGGTTGCACTGGTAACTCTACACAAAATTGAAACTTTTAAAAATGAGTTCTGCAAACTTTTATTCTTCCGACTTTCGAAAGTAACGGAATATTTGTGCTCGGGGTGGTTTTTTTTTCTTCAGACAAATTTCGACTTTTTAACTAGCCATTTTGACGGAATTTTTTTATATTATTCAAAAGCTATTGCTGTCTTGAGCTTAAATTTGAAAAAAAATTCACCTGTGATCTTTTTTCGTAAAATTATAGGGGTTTAAAGATTGCCATTTTGGCCAATTTGGGACAATTAACGTGCGATATATTTCGGGCTATTAATGCGTAAGCGGAGATTTAACCCGTCTTAGAAATCGTTTCAAATTGGTTGAAAGAAGCAGATTTGCCATAATTGATTTGTTATATGGCGTGTGGGGGAATGATTTTCAAAAAAAATTCCAATTTTAGAAAAAAAAATTCATTTTATTTTTATAAATTTATTTTTTTAATGTTATTACTGCTCCATAAACCTTAAAAGGCAGTCGGAACATTCAGGGCTTTGCCCTGATACGAGCAGTCTTGTAAGTATTTCGCACTTGTTCAGAATCTTCTTTTAGCTTTTTTTTTTACATCAAATCTGTATTTTGTTGAAACTAACCTACTAACAAGTTAATAGAACATAAATTAAACTATCCCCTCAAAAGTCAAAGTTTTGTTTATTGAATCGTCCGAAACTGATATCTTTGTATGTTTAATAATTGGGTCATAATGCTAAAATCTCATTGGTTGAAATTAGCTCCGGTTGAAAAAAATCTGAATTTTCCATTGAAAACAGAAGCTCAGTTATCAGTTAGGTAAATTTGGGCACTATGCGGAAATGATGAAACGACAAAATCAAAACTGTACAATTTCTTCCATATTATTTCTTTATTTTGGCTTTGACTTGACGTCTTAATTAGATGGTGAAGATATTTCATCGGGGACTATTCTCATGCGCAAATAACCAAACGTACAAAAATTGTCAACCAGTTCACACTTTTTCATAAGACTAGTTGAGACCAACCGATAATAACATATCATATTTTCGAGCAGAAGAAAAAATTGCTTAAATTAAAGAAACTATATTGTTGGATTATTGCATTACTTGAAACAAATTTATTTAATTATAAACCAATTAACACAAATTCCTTTTAAAATTACTGGCTTAGAAATACTTTAAAAGCAAATTAACAGGAACTCCTTTTAAAAGCTATTTTTATGTTTTATATTCTTGACAAAATGACTTTAAGTGTTTGTCAAAACTGCAAAGTAAAAACGAGCCAAGATGTATTTTTGACCCAACGCGCCGTAGATTTAGGCCGAAAGTGTTAATGTTATCGACTACAGTGCTGATTTAAATTAACCGGACAAAACGCGTTAAGCTTGAAATTTAAAACGCGTTTTTCTCAAATTGGGTTGAATTTAGGGGAAAACTTAAGGAGACAAAACTTGCTTAAAATTTTAGCAGAATTAATATGGTGTAATTTATTTTGCAAAATTCGGGCCCGAAATTTTCCCCCAAAAATGGGTCATTTTGGCTTTTCTTAGTTAATCAAAAATTACGCCGAAAATACCCAGTCGATCACAGACATAATTATATCAAAGTAAGCCTCTTACGTAGCCCAGCAAACTTTAAAAAGAGTATATTCTGCAAAAAAAAATTGCAAGTTGTTTACAAAATTGTTTTTAATTAAAAAGTTGGTATTTTGTTTGTAAAAACGAACTTTTTTGTCTATCAAACAAAAATAAATTAATTTGAACAATCTTTTGGAGAATATACCTTTTTTAAAGTTTGTTGGGCTACGTAAGGGGCTCACTTTGATATAATTATGTGTGTGATCGACTGGGTATTTTCGGCGTAATTTTTGATTAACTAAGAAAAGCCAAAATGACCCATTTTTGGGGGAAAATTTCGGGCCCGAATTTTGCAAAATAAATTACACCATATTAATTCTGCTAAAATTTTAAGCAAGTTTTGTCTAAATAAATTTTCACCTAAACTCAACCCAATTTGAGAAAAACGCGTTTAAAATTTCAAGTTTAACGCGTTTTGTCCGGTTAATTTAAATCAGCACTGTATGTGTGGCCGTTAAAACACATAGTATCATTTTGTTTTATGCCAACACAAAAAATTGTTCCTACCTAGAAGAAAGGAAGGGGGGATGAGGAGGAGAGAAGAGTGGGTGGGGTTGAAGGTGTTTATTAAAATTTGTTTACCAGCACCAGCGGCTACAGCAGGACTTTCGACATCGAACTGGCCACCAATTGCACTTCCACCAGCTATTTTGTACGTGGAGCCCAGAAACGTAATTGAATCATTGCTTGCCGTCCAGTTGAGAACAGTAGAAGACGCATCGACAGGTGGTGGAGCTGCAAGTCACATTAAATGATATCAGAATTGACTACCCAACTTCACAAAACAGATACAAACAGTTCGTTATTTCGCCTGAATGCGTCTAGTTTTGAGAATTAATCAGCTAAAGATTTCATTTGCGCCATCTTCAAAATCATCAACCTCGATCCAATATATGTAGGATCTACTTAACAATCTCCACCCCTTTCAAGAAAGGGGGAAGTTAATAGATCAAAATGGTTGATTTTTGACCAATCAGAATGCAGCAAATTAAAATTTTTAAGTAGGTACTATATAGCGGGGGATTCTTAAGTAGATCCAATAAGCAAGGGCGGATCTAGGATTTTCTCGAGGGGGGCGGATTTTCAAAAAAATTTCGAAAAATTTGACGACCTTTTTTTTCAGGTCGATCAGATTGACTTTCCGAGCTCTCCCAAAGCAGTAAAAAGACCCTGTTTTGGCCAAATTTTCTGCGCCGCAGGCAATTTGGAATTTTTTTGAAAAAACAGGTCAAAAAAGCCGTTTTTGGGCACTTTTTGGAAAATTTTGCTAAAAAAACGCGTTTTTTTTGCGCGCGCTCCCCCTCAAAATTAGTATATATTGGCGCCGAAGGCGCCTTTAGAAAAATTGTAGGGTCAATCGGCCAAAAATGGCTCCCACCCTAAATCCGCCCCTGCCTATAAGTGTATTGGATCAAGGTTGATGATTTTGATTTTGAAGAGCCGCGGATGGAATCTGAAAAGGATTGATTCTCATTCAGGCGCATTCAGGCGACATAACTCATTAAAAGACTTTATAAAAAGGGAAAAGTTTTGCCTTTTTAGAAAAAAGCAAAACAGATAGAAAATCAGGCGCTCATAATAATACAGCTGCTTATTTCAATTTAGTTCAATTTTTACTCGCAATTCCTCAAACTCGCCAATGTAATTACAAATGAAATATTTGCGCAGATTTGTTTTGTCGGCGAAAATGATTTGGGGCGGGAATAATTTGACAAAAATGTTTTCAACTTCTCAATTGTTTTTGAAAATACTTACATTTTTGAAGGAATGAATCAAAGATTTAGTTTGTAGCCTTAATTTAATCCACCGAAGAAAATATTTTTTGAAGTAAGAATTAAGTTACCGGCAGCTGTGCAAGCATTACAGATGGTTCCGACCCCCAGGCTCTGTACTTGAATACCAAAAAAAAAAAATGGTTTAAATAGATGGGTGTGTGTTTCAGTATACCAGTATTAGCGGCCCAAATAACAGAAGTTGCAATTGACAGAAAACTCAATTAAGAAAAGATATTTCAGTATTCAAAGTTCTGACAAGACTGTTCGTAAATTTGAAAACAATTGTCAGAGTTTTAGACAATTTAAAGGGTTCCGGCGCAAAACCTTCTATCATACTAACAGAACGGTGGTCCTCTTAACGTGATATCTATTATGAGTATCAGACAGTGTGCACTTAACTACTAAGAGACATCAGCCCATGCTTTAAGGGCGTGGCGATTAGCCCGTGTGCCTATTAGCATGCGATAAGTGCATGTACTAGGATCTCATTCAGACGAGCTATAACCAATTATTTTAGAAATCGCTTGATTGTCTAAGGGAACTAATATTTCATTTATTGCTTGATTGAATATCTGTCAAGGTGAACGTTTTTGAAACTTCTAATCTGAGTACAAATAGAATTAAAAATAGCGAACGACTCAAATTCAATCTCATTTATTGGCATGCTAATCGAAACACTCTAACTAGCGGGCCGATTGTCCCCGTACTTACGGTCGCAGCCAGTTTCTGCGTTTAGTGTGATTGTCGTCTCCAGCAAGCCCATGTCGCCGCAATCAGTGCCGCTTTCAGAACCCACCGCAACTGTTACTGTAAGTGCATAAGTGTTTCCATAAGACAGATCCGAGCTGAAAGTGTGAGTGAGAGTGGTGTTGTCATATTCGGGAGAGGCTGTTGTTGAGCTTGAGTCGCCGACGATCGAAGTGTTCCAGGAGTCGAAGTTGCCAGGAATCGCAACGGTGACTGTGATTGTTGTCGAGTTATGTCCTACTGTCGTGATAGTAGGATGTGCGGGGTCTAATCACAAAATATAGCTTCGTAAGTATACTTAGTAACAGAAAGTTAGAATAATAAACAGTCAAAAACGAATAAAAAAACCCACAAAAAGGATATTTTTTTCATATATTTTTTTTCAATTTTACAGCTTCAACATACATAAAACAGAAAACTTATCACCCCTTTCCCTGTTAGTTGGATTCCGCATTCAAGCGGTTAAACAAGTAATGAGCTCTCCTAAATCACTAGAAAAAAGAAATATCCCATTTTCACCAAACTTTCTGCGCCGCAGGCATAGTTTTGAAAAAACAGGCCAACAAAAGGCGTTTTTAGGCACTTTTTGGAAAATTTTGATAAAAAAATCGCGTTTTTTGGCACGCACTCCCCCTGTTGCGCGCACTCCCCCAATCATACCATTCTTCTTATTTCATTTAATTAGTCTTAAATTACTTTAACTGGTTAATTTAGATTTGACCTTGGTATGTTCATTCTCTCCGGCGGAGAGAATGATCTCTCACTTTTTTAATGTTTTAATACAAAGATTAATTCACTTTTTAAACATATCTTATTTGTAACTAAGTAGAATTATCCGTAACAAAGAAATATTTTATCATGGCGCAGTCAAACAGTAACGAATCAAACGTGAGAGGCATACCTTCATTCTGGCAAAACCACACAGTGGACCCACCAATTCCTTGGGAAGAGTGGAGCGACTTATTCCAACTAGCAATAATCGCAAAGGAAAACATCGATATCGAAAATCTCTTAAATCCAACGGAACGATATCACCCACTCCCTCCAACACTAGAAAATCCACCGGAAAACGAATCCGATGCTCAAAAAACATCTCGCATTGAGAGGAATATCCGCGAGCAAAAGAGGTTCGATGACGAAAAAATGGCCACAATTAAGTCAGAAACTAAGAAATTTAACGGCATGAGACTAGAATAGGCGGACAAAAAACTCAGATCCATACTTTATTTAGCCCTCGGAAACGAAGGAAAGAAAATTTTCTGCCAAAAGTTCACGAGAGTTAAAGTTCTGCAAATATCTTTCAAAGAATTTTGGGAAAATTTGTCTATAGCCTTTGTGAGAAAGATAAACATAACCTTCAAAAGACACAAGCTGTTGAATAGAAAACAGAGGGACAGAGAATCGCTAGAATAATTCTGGGGGCACTAGCAGAAATGGCAAAAAGATTTGACATTCCCACAGGAGAAGACGAGTGGATCCGGGATATATTTATCAATAATATTAAGAACTCGGACATTCAACGGAAACTTCTTACGGAAACTCTACCCCCACTAGAAGCTTTAAATGTGGCCTTGATCGATGGAAAAGGAATAACAAACCACATCAAAATGACGAGTACTTTTAAATCCAACGGATACCCTTCCAATAAATCTTTTAATCAATTTAATGTAAAAAGAGAACCCACATTAAACATCGAAAGGAAAAACACGTGTATGAAATGCGTCGGAAGTTTTACCAAAGGACATCTGGCGGTTTGCCCCGCAAAAGATACGACCTGTACGACTTGTAAATATCGCGGACATTTTACTAGACTCTGTAAATCACGCCGTAAAAATGTAAATATTGTGGATAGTCAAATTTTAAATCATACAGATTGTAATTATCCTTCAGAACAACCGGATGTAAATAACGACCGCGCTAAAAGAAAATGCTGTGGAGTAATCAACGCATGTTCGGAGTCCGGACAGAGCGATAACGATGATTGCTCTGTATTAAACGTAACAACTATCTACGACGATCAAGGAAAGGAATTGAAGAAACCACTAAACATCGGTCAAGGAAGCAAAAACCAAGTAGTTCTCAAAATACAGGTGGATTCAGCTAGCCCCGTGAGTTTCCTCAAACAAAACGTTCTACACGAGTTGAAGTAACGAGACCCTTATGTGAAGATTTATCCAGTGGACCAAGCGACTAAAGAACTTTACTGCGGATTTACGAACAATGCAATAAATATCACTGGAAAATTAATCGTTCCCATTTTCTCAAATGGATGGTCTCATAAGGAATGCCACTTCGTCCTAACACAAGGAGATGAGAGAAACATCTTGGGGAATGACTACTTGCCAAAAGTGGGAATTGAAGTTTCACAAAAATACTACACACTACACACCAACAAGAAAACTTGTAAGTATATCAATTCAATTACATCACTTGACAAAGAGAATGAAATTGCCATAATTTCCAAGACTTTCAAACAACTTTTCCTTCGGATTGGAAAAATAAAAAATCAAACAAAAATAACACACTTTCACGAACCACTAAAGCCAATTCAACTAAAAGGCAGGCGAGTCCCACTACATTTACTAGATTCAGTAAAAACAGAATTGTGCAGACTCAAATCCAAAGGACCTATCAAAAAATTAGAAATTTGCGACGAGGACAGATTTATTAATCCGATAGTTATCACTTGTAAAAAGGACAAATCGAGAAAATTAGCCCTAGATTCAAAATTTATCAACAAACAAAATTACAAGTACAAATACCAGATGCCCAACATACGAATTAGTGGATAACGTAGCGGCTCAAATTTCCGAAAACTCCGCCGGAGAAGTGTGGTTCACCAATCTAGATCTAAAGAATATAGTCAACTTTCGTTACACAATTTTACTAGCAGTCAATGCAATTTTAGCCTCGTTGGCGGAGATATAACGGGCACATATCAATTCCTAACCGGTTTTTACGGACTCGGCAATTTGCCAAATGAATTTCAAAGAGTCATGGACTCAACACTGAGAAATTTTCCTTTTACAAATTGTTACCTTGACGACATTTTAGTCGCTTCCAAAGGAAGTTTTATCGACCACAAGAAAATTGTCTATAAAATTCTATCAACGTTAGATGGTTACAATTTCGCAGTTAAATGGTCGAAAAGCAACTTTTTCCAAAAAGAAATCAAATGGCTCGGTTTTAAAATATCAAAATCGGGAATCGCTCCACTAATCGATAAAACCAAAGCGATTAAAGATATCCCAGTTCCAAAAAATCTAAAGGAATTAAGATCAGTCTTCGGGTCAACTAATCAGTACATCGAATTCGTACCAAATTTAGCATCCCTCGGAAGCCCGCTAAGACCTCTTTTAAACAAGAAGTCAATTTTCCTTTGGAATGACACAAAAGCGTTCGATAAGATAAAATTAGAAATAGTCAATCTTACAGAAAACACTCACTTCGACGTTAAAAGATCCACGAGAGTAAAAACCGACGCTTCACATAACGGGTTAGGTGCATCCCTCAAACAACTCCATGGGAACGACTGGAAAACAGTATCGTTCGCTTCAAGATTCTTAAATCCTCACGAATCCAAATATTCAACAAACGAATTAGAGTTATTGGGAGTTGTATGGGCGGTAGAACATTACAAAAACTATCTCTACGGCTCAGAATTTGAAATTATTACCGACCACAAAGCTCTCCTTTCCACTCTGTCACCTAATCACGGAAACAAAACGTATCATAGTCGATTGACAAGATGGGTAGATCTTCTTTTACCATTTAATTTTACTATAAAGCATTTAGCGGGAAAAAGATATGGGTTTTACTGACCTAATTTCAAGATCTCCTTCGGGAAAGGCAATCCCCCACCACATTACGATGAAGAATTCGTAGTTGCAGCTACCAAAAAAATATATAAAGCACTCAATCCGTTGGATAACGAAAATTCATTACGTAATTCAATTAGTTCAATTTCGGAAAATTCCAATTACACGAGATTACGAAATCACGTAATAATTACAGCGTTGAATTTCATTAATTCTTCCATTCCAATTTGCAATCAAAAACACTATAGAACAGAAATTTGTAACTCTTAATGCATTCCCTCGGACTTTTCAAACACCGAACCTACTAAAATCGTTTTTATCAAGTTCAGCCTTCATTTAATTTTCAATTCTTAATAATAGTTTAATTAGTAATCCCTCGGATTTTAAACTTATAAATAGTGTAAATATGTCTAATAACCAAATTGTAGTAAATCCTTCCACCTCTGGAATACAGGTCTCAATCGATTTCCAAATTTCTTCAGAACACAAAAATTAGTAACAAAATATCGAGAAAATCTCAAGTTACCTGAAAAATCTTTGGATCTAAACACGTTATTTAACGCAAAGTTGGTCGCATTACGACGAAATGATAAACCCAATCGTGAAAGCTCTACAGAACAAAGTTAAAAGCATCAATGCAAATTCCCATTACCCGTACCAATTTTCGAAAGACCTTCACGAATCCGACGGATTATTATATATGAATAGAAAATTGGTTATTCCTTTTACACTTCGAAACACCGTTCTAAAAACTTTACACTAATCCCACCCTGGCCAATTCGGCACAATGTATTTGGTGGCCTCACATAAACCGACAGATCTACTTCCATTGGATTAACTGTACACAATGCACCCAAACTGGTAAGAATATAAAAAGCATTATACCTGCCACACAAATTAGCGAACTTCCCGCTGTATCCGAACCAAATGAGGAACTTAACCTCAATTTTGCCGGCCCATTAGATAACACCTGGGGAAAGAAGAAATACATTTTATTATGTATAGATTGTTTCTCAAAATTTCCATCAGCTAAAATTACATCTTCAACGTCATCAAACACGGTAATCGAATTCCTTCAAGATTATTTTACCTCCATGGGATTCCTAACTTTATTCGTGTCGACCACGCATCCTTTTTTACTAGTCAGGATTTTAAATTATTCTGTAATTCTTTAAATATCAAATTAATATTTTGTACAGTTGGGGACCATCGTTCTAACGGTCTTGTAGAAAAACTTGTTTATACTGTAAAAACTAAATCATTAGCAATGTCACTAGAACAACAAAAACCTACATTAAAATTCGCTATCTCGAAAATCATTTGGAACTTACAACCTTCCTTTCAATCAAAAATAAAATGTTCGCCGTTCGAAATACATTTTAATAGAAAACCGAACAGGATCTGGAAACAATTGGCATCTAGTAATTTATCCGGTGGATTTTTAGACAAAGGGAAGTCGATCTTAATCAAAGAAAGGGCCCTTGACTGGAATGCGGACGATCGGATTGAAGACGGGTACAAAGACTGTCTAGTACCAAAGAAGAACCAGTCACCACTTGAGTAAGGTTACGACTCAGACCATCCTACAGCTTCAAAACCTTCTTGTTCCCGAGTGTCTCTAAACAGTCCGTTTGAAGCTAATTTACTCCGAAAGACCAATGGAAGTATAGACGGAAATCCCTTCTTGAAACAATTGGGTCAGACAATAATAAACTCAACAAAATCTACAGTTGAACTATCCGACGGAAAAATCATTAGAAAATCGGACATCGCCATCCCAAAGTCTAAATTTTCTACAATCCGTTCATTCAAAGAAAATATTTCTTTTCCTTCTTTTATTAACACTGATTTACAAGTAGGTCCAAGAAAGACTAACAAAACAAAGCCCCAACAGACGCGGAAACTAGGCCCTAAAACGAGACGACAAATAGAGCTTCCTACTCCGGTCACCACTAGGTCTAGAGGGATGAACCAACCAACTAAACCCAACAAGCCAAAACGAACCCGAAATAAAGCCTCGACTTCTAACACTGGATATTTAGCAGGAGACAAATCCATGTTCATTCCGTCGGATACATCTGACATTAGTGGTTGGGAGTGGATCGCGGGTGATTTTCCATGCAGGGAAATGATAAGAGAACGTTTCATTTCGAATAACCCCATTCTTAACGAAGAACCTACCTCATCATTAGATCCTCAAACATATCAAACTAATATAAAATCTGAGATTTTAGACGAACAACTTCAATCGACGGACACAGCGGAATGTCCAATCAGTATAAAACCAGCAGCCCAAACTACTTCACACTCACCTAGCAAACCTCCTACTACTGCGACATCGGAGGGTCCAAACGCTCCGTTGGATACAAAGAAGGAATTCGAGGGAGAAAATCTTATCGAATTTCCGGTTTTCGAGATAGAAGACTCCTCTGATGAAAATGCGATTACTGAGGAAAGGCATCCAAAGGAGACCATTATCACTGGTAATGATTTTAAATTAAGACGTTCGAGTCGAAATGTTGGACCTCCCCAATTCTTTGGTAAAAGATTGTACATAGATATTATAGATGAGAACGAAAATCAACCAGGCTCCGCGAAAAACCCAATACCTCTGGACGAAAACGACAGTTCGGGCACCCCCACACAAACCATTACAAGGAATCCCTCGGATATTCAAACCCCTATTTTCGACATCCAATCAGAAGAATGTACATCCGATTCAGTGATCTCCTCATCCTCAGATCAAATCTCTATTATCTCCACTGACGAATCCCTGAGAGATGCTGTGAATAGTTTTGACAACTATATAGACTTAGATAGTGAAATTTTCAACGCGGAGTTAGAGAAATTTATGGAAGGGGACAGTTAAACTAAAACAAAAATTCGCATTTAGACTTAAATACTTTTTTTTAGTACTTCATTACAGTGCAGTTAGAATCTATCTACATTTTGTAGCCATTGATTATAATCCGCCGGATTCATGAGTTGTGCTATTCCTCTTTATAATCAGTCACTCCTTCGGAACATTAAAATTTTATTGTTATATGGGCAGTACTTAATTTTTTCAATCCGTTGGTTGGACTCCTTGAGGGAGAGAAAAGGGTTAGTTATCCTGTTACGTATCATAGCGTATAGTAGTTTAATTTTTTTTCCCACTAAGGGGAATGTTGCGAATCATACCATTCTTCTTATTTCATTTAATTAGTCTTAAATTACTTTAACTGGTTAATTTAGATTTGACCTTGGTATGTTCATTCTCTCCGGCGGAGAGAATGATCTCTTACTTTTTTAATGTTTTAATACAGAGATTAATTCCCTTTTTAAACATATCTTATTTGTAACTAAGTAGAATTATCCGTAACAAAGAAACATTTTATCACCCCCCTCAAAATTAGTATATATTAAGAAAAATTTTAAGAGTCTGTCACCAAAAATGGATATCTCAAAATAGTACAAAAGGGGGACCCTTTGGGTCGGCAGGGGTTCAAATTCCTGAAAAGAGGGGGGGGGAAGCGTCCGCCCTCTTCCTAAATCCGCTGGTGGACACTAGTGTTATAATTTGAATAACAGGCTATCAACTTGGAAACTTATTGAAAATTGACAGTGTTAGGTCACGTATCTAGTAAAATTAGTAGTTAACTTATTGTCGATTAAATTTTTTTTTCAAAGTGCAACAAACTTTGAAAAACTATTCGATCATAATCTGGTTTCGAGAAATATTTTCTCCATATTTGCTAACTCAATTGCTGACTTAAGAGAATGTGACAAAACCTTGCGTTGCAAAAAACAGCGACGTATTTGGGGTTTATTTTGAAATTTTGTGAAAAAATGAATTATTTATTCCGACAACCGAAAGTGTGAAAGAACTTTGAATTTGTGAGAAGTTTTTAAATCGAAGTTTTACTATATTTTTCTGGGATAAAGGATTTGCACCCAATGCCTAAAAATATGGAACATCGGTCGCGATAGTTTGAAAACCAGCCATAGCTGCTTTCAACGGATCTCTTGAATACTTCCTCTTTTTGCAAAGAGATTCGTTACTAGTTACAAATTGCTCAACCTTTAAATTATTTCATTATAAGGGTGGCAATTCGTTACTGGGTACCAAAGGTGGAGAGGGTAGTGAAAAAGATCCTTTTAACTTGTTTGAGACTAGTCAGTGATGCAGTGCCTTACATGTGCATCCGGTTACATTAACAGGGTCACTTTTCAGAACGTTAGTGGTGCCATCGTCCATCGTAGATGTGCATGTTGTTCCGCCTGCAACGCCCAAGAGGTTCTGGACTGTCATGGTGTAATTGGTTCCGGGCGTTAACCCACTGATGGTGATGTTGTCCCCAGATGAACCCGCACTTGTGTATGCAGTAGGTGTCAAGTCGGGAGTGAGAGCGATGACCTGTAATACAAAAAAAAAAAATTTGATTTTTTTTTTTTTTATAATATCTTTTAAGACACTAAAAAACGTTAAGAAAACTTAAGTCGGCCCATTGCTTTATGAACACTCAGAGAAGTTGGTGAAATTTTTTTAAGAGTAGATTTTTTAAAAAGTTAATCAGTTTTATGTCATATCTTATCTATGTCTGGTTGCAACTTTTAAGATCATTTATCCACGAAGGATAGGACCAACATACGAGCTGTACAGCTCATCACGGCGAACAGCTGTTGTGCCCCTGCTTAAGAACTACATGCAATTTTTTTTTGTTTATTTTTCTGGGCTGGGTAATGTTGCCTCACCCCCAAGCAACGAGCACGGATCATGGTGGGGGTTGCTTATTAAATCAGCCAAAGATAAAAATCATAGATATCAATAAGTATTCCAAAGCCAAAAAAGTGTTCGCGATATCCATGGGAACTTTTACTACACTTTGGATCTCATGGGACAAAATTAATCCAAAAAAAAACATTAAATTGAAAGAAAAGTTGGTATATTAACGGGTCGAAGTATAAACCAGCCAAAAATTGGAGGTTAATGCAAAAGACGTAACTTTCGGCTGGTTAATATACTCTGCTCATTTTCGGCTGCGTCTTATATTTGGGCTGGTTTATTCACACTCGACGGAAAAGCAGGATCAAACAATCCCCCCCCCCCAAGAATGGGCGGATGAGTAAATGTTAAGTAGATTAAGTTAGTCAAACCAATCGAAACTAAGTTTTTCAGCCAATCAGAATGCAGCATAATTGGACCAATAGGACTATCTAAGTTTTTCGACCAATCAGAATGCAGCAAAATTTTTAATTTACTGTTTTTGTTTATAGGGGTGGCAGTTCTTCAGATTCTTGACTTAGATAGCTAAGGGAGGGGGGTTAGGGGGAGTTGGTGATTGTTGAGTAGATCCAAAAAGTACCTCGATGTGATCACGTGAGCCAGTGGCGGCGGTCACTTCGCTGAAGTAGACAGTGATAGTTCCGTTGTCAGCCGAGAGAGCATTCGCAGATATTGTCGGAGCGACTGGCACTGAAAGCAAAATTAAACATAGATACACCGGGGTTAAGAACTTAGACGACAACTAAATTAGCCGATCAGAAAGTAGCTGAGTTTAGACCATAACTTGCGTGCAAATTGCGTAAAAATCGTTTACAGACTTAATTTATTGTCTTCTTGTCTAAATGAAACAAAGAAAAAAAATTATCTTCTAAATTCAGTTAGTTTACGGTCATCTGATTTCATTCGCCCCAAAGGATATGTAAACTCAAGCTGGGATATGTTTCCCATCAAGACTAAAGTGATATTTGTTCCGGCTTTCGAGAAAACGGAATATTTATGCTCGGCGTGTTTTTTTATTCAGTCAATTTTCGCCGATCGAAAAAATAGATTTTGACAAAACTCCCAAATTGCCAAATTGGCCATGTTCTGGACTAAATTATGCGCACTATGAAGATTTTATTCATATTGCTGAGAGCGTAATTTAAGCGTGGCAAACTCTCCTGCGCAATAAAATCGTTTCAAATTGAATTGAGGCTAGCTATTTGGTTGTGTTAATTTCGTTTGACTCACCATTTCACACTTTGATTATGTTCAAAATTTATAGATTTTCAAAATTTTCTTTTCCCAAAAACTATTCGATATGAATTAAGGGACAGTCGCCCTGATATTCGAGCAGTCTTGTTCTCAACTATCTACGTGCCCGTACCCAGTAAGTTTTCTAAAACTGGTCTGAAATAATCTTTTTCAGATCTCAAATAAATTGTGAAATGTTTAAATAACGCTTGGATAATTTAAGGATTGATTATTTCAGATCAAATTTCAGATGTGAATTTTTTTTTTGGTTATTTCAGATCTGAAAAAATCTATTTCAGATCTAATTTCAAATCTGAAATTCAGTTTTTCTTGGTCATTTCAGATCTGAAAAATCAATGATTCTGACTCAATTTTTGCTGTTTTTGATTTCTTTTGTATTTGCTAGCTTCTGCTAGCTACTAGCTGGTACTCAGCAAAATCTCAGGTTGGAGACCAAAATATGTTTACTTCCCGTAGCATGAGATAAACATTAAAAACGCATAAGTAGCGCATGAAAGACTGAAATGTGACAGTAATTGTTGAACAAGAAATTTAAATAAAAAAAAAGGTTTGTGAAATTATTCCGAAGTTTTTTACCACTAGTTATTTTTAACATAATTGTTTTTTGGAGAAACATCAAAAAGTAAAAAACTCAATTTTTTGCTCGAAATGCATAAATTATAATTTAACAAAAGATTTCTCAGAGCTGATTTCAGATCTGAAATTTTGTTTTTCAAGGTTATTTCAGATCCAAATTTCAGATCTGAAATACGTAAATTTTTATCAAGATCTGAAATTAAAAGTTTTAGATTTGAGAATCAACTTAAGTAAGAAATAAAGAATTTTAGATATTGTGCAGAAAATCCCCTGGGTACGGCCGTTATTTGGACCAGGTGGCTTGACTCAATTCAAAAAAGATTACGTTTGCGCGGCTTAGAATTTTCCGCTTACGTTATAAATTAATAGAAAACTGCTAAATGACGCGCATTACTTATCCCAGTTTTGCCAATCTAACTTTTTGCCACTCCCAAAAATCTTTATAAGTGACAACCACAAGTATTTTAAAATTTCAATTTTGAGCTCAAAAAATTAGTTTTAATTTCAAAAATCAAATACTTGTCTGGAAAAAAATCACTCGAGGAAGAGAAGGTCGCTTTTTGTCGCTTTTTCGAAAGCAGCAACAATCATAACTGAAGACCACTGAAAACAGTTTTTAAAACCTTGAAAATTGAAATACTAATGTATAAAACCAAAAAAAAACAAGATTACTCGACCAGGGCAAAGCCTTGAAGGTTCCGAGTGCCTTTAAAATGTCTCTGGAACAACATTTTTTTAATAGAGATAGTTGAACTTTTCAGAAAACGAAAAAAGAAAAATATAAAAAAGAATTGACAATTTTTCGCAAATCAATCTTCCACACGCCATGTAGGTTATAACATTATCGATTTTGCTCTTAGTAAGGTAAGACATGACAAATAGCGCCTCTTTTTCCTTTTCCTCCACCTAGCATAAGATTCAATTTTATGGTGTAACGAGGGGTTTTACAAGAATAAGTATGAACACTAATTATGTTTGCTAGGGCCTAATTAGTCCGCCTATCCATTGTTTTTACAATCGTACAAAGAGAACAATAACTTAACTAGTAAAAATTCGCGGGTAGATAGTAAACAAAAACGCCCAAAAAGCCGGCTTCAATCAATTTGGAAAGACTTCTAAGGCGGAATAAATCTCCGTTTACGCGTTAATAGCGCGAAATATACCGCGCTTTAATTGTCCCGAATTGGCAATTTTCAAAACCCCATAACATTACGAAGAATGATAAGAGTTGAAATATCTTTATAAGTTTGAGATCAAGACAACAATACTTTTCAGATGATATCAAAAAATTCTGTCAGAAATGGCTAGTCGAAACTTGTCTCACCAACCCGGGCACCCAAATTTGTCACTGTTTTTCAAAAATGCGGGGAACAAGACTGCTCGTATCAATGTCAGGCCGTTGAAGCATTCAAAAAAACTTGAAAATTTTTTATACTTGTTTCTTGATGAACCTACACCCACACGCCAATTAAACTAACGCGCTATTTAAATTAATTGGGCAACGCAAGTTATTTGGATCAAATGAACTTGAACCGATATCTGAGCTGGATTGTTTGACCTAAAACTAGGAATGCCTAAGTAGTCTATGAAAGTTGTTTTCAAAAAAAAATTGCTCATAAAAAATCAGTAAAACGAAAATTTATTCAAATAAAAATTTGGTTTTGATATGAGCAAAAATCAATTCCCACAAAAAATCTCCGCTTAACACAAATAATAAGGTGCAACGAAATCCTTGTAAAAATCCTTGCGCAATTTTATAAGCAAAACAAAATTCTAAGCACAAAACGAAATCCTTGTGCAATTTTGTAAACATCACCATTAAAAAAATCTTAAAAAAACGAAGTGGAATAGATAGTTTTTGCTGAAAAAAATTCGGATACTCATTTTTAATTATAGTCCGTTAATAACCTCGTTTAGAATAATGGTCCCGAAAAACTACCAATGATCCCATTGAAAAAGTAAAGAAGCCACGAATATATAAGTATGTTATATATAGTTTCTAAATTTTGTCAGTGAATTAAGTTTATGGAAAGCTTTAACTCTGCCAGATGAAAAGTTATTCAAAAATTCAAAATCTATACTTCTATTGCTTAAAAAATTAGCTTTAAAAGTAAATTATAATTGCAATTCGAAGTATAAGAAAGAGTGATTCAGCTATTTAAGTTGAATTTTCCACCTATTGTAATGTATCACAAAAAACGTTTCCAGTATTCTTCTGATACATTTTTTTACAGAACGCCACTTTCTATGAAGCACGCCTTTAGTGCGAATTGCATCACGTAAAAACTTGTTCAGTTAAAAGAAAAACATATCTAACCGGTGCAAAGGTCTGTCAAAGTAGTTGTAAGGTCACTCTCGAAATCAACACAACTGGTAGTGTTGATGCTGCTTTTAAATGTCGCATTGTAACTGGTCCCTGGCGTGAGTCCGGTGATGTTTACGCTGTCCGTAAGCTCCACCCACTCGTCGCAACCGGCACTTCTTCTCTGTCTTTTTGCGGCGCCGCAAGAGTGACTCGGACTACTGGAATCCAGGGAATAGTGATCGATTCCTCCGCTACTCACTGAAACCGCCACCCCGTTCGCATTGATGTACAGAGTGTCAGTTGTTGCAGTGTGATATGCAGTGCCATCGAACACTGGAGCTTCAGGTTCTAAAGTTTAACAAGGATCAGTTTTGAATTCATGTGTGACATTTGATTAAATTGAAGTGAATGCTTATAAAAGAGTTGGCTAATCAAGAAATATCGGGGAGTGAAAAAATTGCTGAACCAATTTTTTTTTCGAAGTGGATCAAGTTCTGATAAAACGTGAACTCGAATTGAATTTGAGAAAAAAAGTTTATTAGGGCGTGATCGACAATTTTTAAACTTAAGTTGAGAAAAAGCACAGTCGTGGAATAAATATCTCTTTTTTCGCCGCAACGCTATCGCATTGAAACTGGAATCTTTTGAAAGAAAAAAAAACATTTTTATAGATATCTTAAGAACCATTTTGAACTCGAAAACAGATTTAATTGCAGAATTTATTCAACTACAAAAAACCTGCATGCAATTTTTTAATTGTAGTGCTATTCACGTTCAAACAGTAAGCATTTTCGGGGCCTTTCAAGAAAATTTCATAAGCAACAGATTAGGTTCACTTGAAAATTTTCCAAACACACATGCAAGCAAATGACATGCAAAATTTTGTTCGATCAAAACAATAAAAAGTTTATTAAGAGCGCCTTGGGGCGCATAGATTAACTAGAAGAGCACCACCCACAACCCCCCTCAAATTTATTTTAGCTACGATTTTCTCGTTTCCCCCCTAACAATTCTGGTAGTTATGGTTTTCTCGTTTCTCGGTACTATGTTAACCATGCCAAAGTTTTGTGAAGGACGCATTTGGCGCTAATACACTCTAGTTTTGACGAAAGAGAGGGCGCTGCAAAAATCAAAGAAAGTCCAAAAAAACTTCAATAAATTTAGTGTCAGAACAGGTGTCAAACTGATAGTTCTGAACAAGTCAAACTAATAATTCTGATTTTTTGAATTTCAAAAAATCAATTGAAATTCAAACTTTTTTATTACTGATACTTTTTTGAAAAACTAATCCAGGTACAGAAAACGGGATCAAAAAGCAATATTGATTTTAAAGGTAGTGCTATCCTTAAATGCAATCATAGAACAGTTTTATGAGGAAAAGTGGTTAACAAAATCCGTTGGAGAAAATTTTAAAGCAAAAAGCATGAAAGTTCTAGAAGCCTCTTTAATTCGAAGTATGGATGAGTTTGAAGAGGTTGAATTAAAGATCTTCGCTTAGTCAAAGATCAAATGTCTTGACAAATTGTCTTGACGTTTTGAAAAACATTTCTTAATTTCTGAGCTTTTATGAATAACGCCAAATCGGAAACAGCTCTTTTACAACAACTACCTTTTTTCCTATTAGACCCACCACAGAAAAATAAAGTCCTAATCAACTTTTGCCTGATCACTTTAAACTATAAAAACAATCTAAAACGTTTCTTGTTTTATCAGTTAAAAATTCCAAGAATTGATAAAAAATAATCCAAAAAAAATATATTAACAATTTCTTCAAGCTAACAAATAACTGAAGTTAATCAAAAATCCATCGCTTGACTATATTGCTTCAAAAACTTTAATAATCGCCCGCCAATTCAAAACTATCCAAAATACTTCATTTTTGTGACTCGATCGCTTCCTTTTGAAGCTAAACGAATCAAGTTACTCCCTCAAAATGGGACGAATTGGTTCTAAGTTTCATTGCCTGTATATTTTGCTTCTGAAAAACCAATAAAACCTTTTGAAAAAACTTGAGTTTGTTCAATTTTTCACCTATTGTTAGAAAACTTGATAGCTTGCTTGTGAAAACTTCACATTTTGACATATGAATGGAAGCTTCAACACCAAACGAAAATGTTCAAAGCTTCAATGCGTGATAGTTTGCTTCAAAAATTTTATTTGCAAGATATGCAATCAATTGGATGGTTCAAATTTCGTTTACTTCAATATCTTGCTTTAAAAGCAAACAAAATGTTAAAGCCAACTTAACTTGTTCACGCTGTCAAGGTATTTTAGTTATCAAATCAGTGCACCATTGAGTTTCTTACCGAAAAGTCAAAAAATTTTAAAGGTGAATGGGATTGTTTATTATTCCACTTGGAAATCCAAAAAAAAACAATCTCTTTTTTTGAATCTAAAATATTTTAACGTATTTCGGGTTTTTCGCAATTTTTTTAGAGTTTTTGTAGAAAAAGTTTTTGGAATTGCTTTACAATCTGAATTTGAGGTGAACTTAAATCGCCGAAGCGTCAAAAAATTCTGATATTCTGAATTTAACTGCTGAAAACCCACATGACTTCATTAGGGTCTATAATTGACACTTAGCACTTAAAAACAAAATTTGTGCTGAGTGTTTCAACAAAAATCTTCGCTGTTTATAAATAATCTCTACAGATTAAAATTTTTATACTGTTTTCAATCGGTTTTTGAATTTTGAAAACTTTAATAAATGCACTCACTCTTGAAAATCAAATTCAAATTTGGGAAGATCCCTTCGCTTCCAGTTTTTTTTCAAAGGTTGGTATTTTCCAATCAGAGATCTGCTTAGTAAATGGAAATCAAAACAGGCTTCGAAATTAGTGATCCATCGTTTAACACTAAAAATGAGTGGAAACAAATATTAGACTTGCACTTAATAAATATAATACACAATCTAACACGACTGCTCATATCAAGGCGAAGCCCTGAATGTTCCGACTGCCTTTTAAGGTTTTATGGAGCAGTAATAACATCAAAAAATTAAATGTAATAAAAAAAATGAAAAATTTTTTTTTCTTAAATTTGAAATTTTTTATAAAAATCATCCCCCCCACACGCCATATAGAGTACAAAAAGATAGATTTAGCTCCTTGTAACAAATCAGTTATGGCAAATAAGCTTCTTTCAACCAATTTGGAATGATTTTAAGACGGATTAATTCTCCGCTTACGCGTTAATAGTGCGAAATATATCGCGCGTTAATTGTCCCAAATTGGCCAAAATGGCAATCTTTAAACCCCCATAATTTTACGAAAAATGATGACAGGTGAAACATGTTTTCAAATTTGAGCTCAGGACAACAATAGCCTTTGAATGATATAAAAAAATTCCGTCAAAAATGGCTAGTTAAAAAGTCGAAATTTGTCTGAAGAAAAAAAAACCCACCCCGAGCACAAATATTCCGTTACTTTCGTATCGAAAGTCGGAACAATAACGAATGATTTCAACGCTATCTTTCTTGAAACGCAAGCCTGGCAAAATGTTGTGGAAAACTTTGCATTCTTCTGAATACCTCTTTTTCAATTTTTGCTGTTTATAGTACTTTTAGGGTTTTTTTATTACTTCTTCAAATTTCTAGCTGATTTGGATAGTCATTAGATCGGAGCTTATTAGATCAAGTTTCCCTCAAGACAAGATATAAGATATACCTTGCGAATTTGCGGAAGTGTTTTATAATAAAGGTTATAAATCTTAAAATTTTCAACAGCGATTGAATAGAGGTAAAGATTGTAAACAACTGAGCAAGAACTCAAAAGCTTTTTACGTATAACTTTGGAGGAAACCTTCCAAGTTAACCAGTTTGGTTCAAGTTTTTAGCACAAAATGCACGTATTGAAAACAGTGACCTAGTTTTTTAATATCAACTTTTTAATGCCGCCACTTTTGAAAACGCCGAATTTTTCATCAACTGCAGTTAAATTTTTAATGATTCCGGTATTGCAAATACTTGCAACACTGCACGTCAGAAAAAGATTCTAAGAAGCACACTAGGAATGATTAATTTTTTTCCAAATTCCGATTAAATTCAAGTAGCCCGCAGTAGGTTAGTCTGATGATTGAAACTTATAACGCATCGATACCGACGATGTTTCGATGTCTGATAGTGGCAGGGGTGTTAGGGTACAAGTTTAATAGTTGGGTCCCCGGAAAAAGCAATAATGAAAAATGGGTCCCGCTTTTTGCGAAAACTCTAAAAAAACAATTTAACAAATGCGAACCATGTTTTCGAAAATTTTAGGCCTAAAAATTTCTAGGCCATACTTGTAGCTGCGTTCGTTTTGATTAATTTTCAACATACTTGTGCACGCATAATTGTCCCTGACAGTTGTGGGGGTGTTGGTTCCGACGGTGCAGGTGGAACTGGAGCCGATTTCGGCCACAATTGTGAAATTGTACTCGGTTCCAGGCGTCAGCCCTGTGACTGTGTGGGAAGCAGATGTAATACTGGCGGTTACTGGTATAGCTGGTGTTCCCGTGGCTGTGAAAGAGTCCCAAGTGCTGCTGGGAGAGAGTGTCAAAGTGATATCTGTCTCGTTAACCGTTGCTGTCGTAACAGTTATCGTTCCCGGGTCTAAAAATAACAGCAAAGTTCAAACTCGATTCAAATGTGACGTGAATCAAGTTAGTCTTATTATTCCTTTCAAACTACTATCCAAAGTGCAGGGTTATCATCTTCAAGGACCGAAAACGCTACCAAGTCAATACTACTTCGATCTAATTCATAGCACATACTAAGAAAAAACACTAGTCATAAAACTTTATATAAGTTATAAAAGTTTGTGAAATCAGTGTAATCATTTTATATTTGTATTTTTTTGTTTTTTTTGCATTAAAATAATTTGATCCAAAAATTAGCATCATTAGGCAAATTTGAACCAAATTTTAGAAAATTGATATTTGCAATGTTGTTTGTACAATGCAGTTATTAGTTTGTACAGTTATCATATTTTGGGCTAGTTTAAATACATGATGTTTGCGCGACTTTAACTGCTTTAGCGACAAAGAGTTTTGAAAAAACACTGTATTTGTCTCTTGTATTTGGCTGCAAAAATAAAAATGAGCCGGCAAAAAACATGAGATTCCGCTGAAAGAAAAAAATGCTAGCCGTACAGTTTCCGTATATGAGCCAATACTGTTCATTGGCTTATCAAGTATTTAAAATGTTTGTGGAACTGTGTTGAATTTGCACGTGTAGCATTTTGGATCAACCCATAGATCTTCCAGGCTAGGATACCATAGGTCAGTAATGGATTTAGGGGGGACGTTCCCCTCCCTCAGGAATCCCCCCCCCCTTCCTGCCACTCCGAGGGTCCCCGAGGGTCCTCCTTTGTACTATAGTGAGACATCCAATTTTGTCCATTATGATGTCCACTATCTTGAGTTCACTTACTACAGCATTGACGGAAATGATGAAAGAATTGTTGTTAAAATACTATGTTCAGGGCATCAGTAACATAAAGATCTGTCAAAGTCTCCTAAAAAGTAATTAAATCTTTGAGTTTTACGTAGATTGAATCAAAACTGTCGTCGTCACATCTCACATGATACGTTGTCACTAATTCCAAGGAGTAAGAGTCGCCCAAAAAATTACACAGCAATGGAAAATATAAAAAGTTTCTATTGACGACTGGTTGACATCAGATATCCTCATTCCACGTGTTTTTCACCGTTTCGATCTAACCAAAAAAATTTTGGTCTGTTTAAGGGCAACGAACAAGTTACAACTTTAAGGATATCAGCCGAAAGAATCTTGTTTAGCTTTCGGCTATATGCAAGTAATAATTTCATAGCTGGCTCTAGAATCCCCCGAAAATGTGGTTATGACAAAAAAAAGGAAAAGAAACATTTTTCAAGTTATTTTTTTTACAGTTACATATCGGATCCATTAAAGACCGAATGACAATTTTCTCGCCCTCAGCTCATACCCTGAAATAAATTGTTACAAAAGAATTAAAATCAAATCTTCAGGGCCTTATAACGGTTGAAACGTTTTTAAACAGTTACTAGGCGCCGGGACTTTCTCCTTACAATTCCTGGGGCATAACGTCGTTATCTTCCCAATTTCCAGGCTCGGGAGAGTTAGATCGATTCCGAACTCGCCACTGAACCCTCGGTTTTACGCAAATTAGGAGATAGCACCTCTAAAATTATCGTTCTGTGTTCTTTTGCAACTGTTTTTGGTCTTTTATTCGGCTGTTGTGAACCCTCCTATTCGCTAAATTTTTGTCAATCAAGTATTTCGTGCCAATTTTGTCTATATCCGAAAGGCTCGCTAGTGTCTTGCGGCGGAATGGCTCAAGGCGACAAATACGCATCCAAGATAAAAAAAAATTTCGGGAAATGTTAACTTCTTGGTGGCCAGCGGTTTTTTTAGCGGACTGGTTGTTAGCATAAAAGTGGCGCAGTACTCTTCTCGTTGCGGATTTAAGCGCAGCAGAGCGAAGCGGAGAAAGCGTATTCTACTTGCCAATGCCGCGTTTGAAGTTAGTGTACTGTCTGTTTAACTGGTTTGAGTCTGCAAAAAACCGGTCTGCTAAGAAAACGGTCTGCTAAAAAACCTAGCCCCTTATTGACCATATTAGTTATTATCAATTGTTTCGCCGTTTTTGTATGCATTCTTTTCTGCAAAAAATTCACTCTCTTTTCTAAAGAATACTGATTGATACCACCTTCAAATCGAATTCGGCAACTTATTTTTTTAGTCTTAGTTCGCAGTCTTATTTTATAGCAGCGCTCAGCATTGCAACTAAAAGTTCAATTCATTCGAAAGATAAAAAGAAACTAAAAAATTTAAAAATCGTTCATTTCCGGTGATCTGAAAAAAAAAAGTTGATTTCGGAACTCTTGCACTTCGGCGCTCTTGACCGCCCCCGTTGCAAGAACGCTGATTCTTTGAAGTTTTCACTTATTCGGCTCTTCTTTAATGAGATTAGCCAGCTTCATGTAACACCAGTACGGTAAAATTTAGGGGTCCTTTCTGTTATACGGGCCAAAATCAACTAAATTGTTACTTGAGCTTCTGTTTCTTATTTAAAATCATGTTTTTTTTAGTAATTTCAACCAATTAGATTCGAGCTTTATGATTTTGTTTTTCAAAGTAAGATCATGTTTGAGCCTTGTTACAGAAAAAAGACCCAATTGTAACAAATTTGATCTACTTGCCTGTGCAAAAGACGACATCGATTGTTGAGCTTAGAGGGGTAAGTCCACCACATGGCGATGATGTCCCGATTAGTGATGCTACCGTCAGAGTATACGAAGTCCCAGCACTCAACCCTGTGAAAACCGAGAGACGAATTAGGAGGGACAAGAATCTCATTAAACTACCCCACCCCCACCCAATGGTACCTTATCGAAGATTATCGAACCCTGTATGTCTAAATCGACATGCATATGACGTTATTGGGATCTCTTTAACTATTTCCCTTCTATTGCAAGGGGGTGAGATTCGTTACTAGGTGCTCTAGGGCGGGGGGAGGGTAAGTTAAAGAGATCCCATTTTTACCTAGAAACTAATTACCCGCTCCTGCGGAAAATCATTTTGGTCGCCCCAAAACTTTCGTTCAATATTTTTTTTATTAAAAGAGTACAAGTTCCAAACATATTTTGTTGCAATTACATTACCAGCTTTCATTAACTTTTCGCTGCAATCATAACAATTGTTTTTATCTGCTAAAAACGACTGTCAAAATTTCTTTTAAACAAAAAATGAATAAATTTTTGTCGACAGGTTTAGTTCAATTAATAGAAACCTATTCCATTTAAGGGTACTTTGAGGATCAATTGGAGTCTCCAATCACAAATTCTGCAACAAAACATTTACCGGCTAATTTCCTACCCCTTTCAGGGTTGGATCTAAGATTTTCTCGAGGGAGGGGCCAATTGATTTGTGTCTTCTGTTTTTGTTCGAGGTGATCTAAATTGATTTTACTAAGACTCCTAAAACCCTATAAAGTCACTACTTTGCCACTAACTTTCAAATTTTTGGAAAGAAAAATAGGCCAAAAATTTTGGATATATTTTTTTTCGATAATTTTGACCAATAGTTTTGCTCGCTCGTTCTTTAATTTAGCGTTCATTGGCGCCGAAGGCTGTATTTCTGATAAAGCACCCAAAGCGAGACCCTAAAGGGGTGCGAAGGTCGAAACCCCCCCCCCCCCCCCCGCCATCTCCACTTTAAATCCACCCCCGTGGCTTACTCTGTTAGGTATGAGGTTTAAATGTTTAGAACAGCTTGAATAGTCCGTATGCCAAAAAGCCCGAATCTGACATTGCGAGCCAAAGTTTAAGCAGAAAAAACCATAGCTGGTGGGAAGGGGTGGGGAAAGTGTGCATGAATTTTGGGTCGAACCGGTTATTGGCGTGTCAGTCGTCGTATTTGTGGCGATAGTGTAGGAGAAGGCGGGTGCTGAGTCTGGGGATAGCGAAGTGGCCACATAAGTGTCGCCGCCAAAAGTGAACTGTGCCCCGACGATGTCGGCGCCAGTAGCTGTCATTGTCATAGCTGATCCAGCCGTGGTGATCGTCGGCGGGTCAGGCACTGCAAATCACAATACACTCTAACAAGGCCAATCAGTTTCCATTCAAAGCATCTCTTCAACTATCCGTCCCCACTTCCCTGTGGTACCTATGAACTCATTGTCACCCCTGTACAAAATTAATACAACTGTTTTGCCTCAAATGAACAATCTCCCCCTTAATTAAATGGAGGCGTAGCGATTTTGCATGCGACAATTGCTTCAATTGGATGTACATTCAGACGAAAACGAATGAGCCAAAAGTTTCAAATAATTTCGAAAACCACTTGATTTTTTAGGGAAATAAAAAATAATTTTTGTCTTATTGAAAATTCGGCGAAGTGCACGCTGATAAAAATTGACAATTTGAGTACACAAAGCTTGAAATAGCGCGTCATCAAACTACATTTTTTACGTGAGCATGCTAATAGACCGGTCCCCAAAAAAATCAGGATGGAGATCGTTCATTTGGTTAAACCAAACGAAAAAAAAAATTTCATGCATTTTTTCTAGTTATCACTGACGTTTTTTTGGAACACAAAAAATCAAAATTTGAGTGTCTCAAAACAACTTATTTTGCATCGAAATTTTGTGTTCATAAATTAGGCATTTCAAAAAATAGAAAAACTTTTTCAAAAAAATTTCTTGTGTAATAAGTAACAATAATTAGTTTCGAATGTTTTTTTTCAGCGTTTAGATTGCAAACAGGATTTTCAGTAAACCAATTGAAAATTTTTTACAAAAAAATAGAAACACTTTCAAAAAATTTTAATTTTTATTCTCTTGTTTGATATTCAATTTTTTGAAAAAAATGTTATGGATCTTGCCTAATTCACTAAATTATTAGGCGTTTGAGTAGTAAATGAATCACTCCACTCAATTAAAACGACCCTAAATTGAAAAAAAAAGCAAAGAACGAACCTTTTTTTCTAGATCTTTCTAATGAATATATGAGTATGATCGGAACATTCAGTGCTAACATTGTTTTTAATTGTAACAACTAGCCACTTAGAGCTTTCTAGAGTTTCAGAATTCTTATTTCCTGCATTTTAAAAGGGGAAGGAGTGATCATGTAAATAGACATCAATTGTCGCAAAAACTTCAATTGTAACAAAAAAAATTAATCACACTAATCTTATCAGGGCAAAACTTTGAAGGTTCTGGCAGTCCTGCAACGTCTTTGAGACACATTTTGAAAACATTAACTTAAAAAGAAACAGTTTTCAAATAAACAAAACTGCTCATATCAGGGCGAAGCCCTGAATGTTCCGACTGCCTTTGAAAATTATGGAGCAGTAATAAATTAAAAAATTAAATCTAATAAAACAAAATCAGGTTAAATCTCGCTTACGCGTTAATAGCGCTAAATGTATCGCGCGTTAATTGTCCCAAATTAGCCAAAATGGCAATCTTATCTTTAAACCCCCATAACTTTAAGGAAAATGATCACAGGTGAAATATTTTTTCAAATTTAAGCTTAGGACAACAATAGCTTACGAATGATGAAAAAAATTCCGCAAAAATGGCTAGTTAAAAAGTCGAAATTCGTCTGAAAAAAAACCACCCCGAGCAAAATTATTCCGTAATTTTTTTTTTCGAAAGTCGGAACAAGAAGAGAAACTATTTTTTTTGGATTCTTGTACTTCTACCCACACCCTATTTCAAGTAAGAAAAAAAAACGTTCTAAGCGTTTAGTAACACAATAATAACATCAAATATTTTGCGTCAATTCATTTTAGAATTATTTTGAGCGGGAAATAATAGCGGCTTACGCGTCAATAGCGCAAAATATCTCGCGCTTATTTGTCCCAAATAAACCAAATTGGCAATTTCCACACCAATATATTTTTCAGAAAAAGAATCACAGATGACAGAACTTTTTAAATTGGAGCTCAAGGCAACACTAGTTTTCATTCAAAAATTCTTTTCAAAAATTATAAGACAAAACGTGGAAGTTGGTTGGAGAACAAAAACACTCCTAGCCCAAATCTTCCGTCACTTTCTTTGAAAATCAGTACAATTATAAATGTTTCAGTTGGAGTGCAAATACAAAAATCTATAATTTGCCGCAATTTGTAATCCATGTGTGATAGACAACACAAACTAAGTTAGAAGACTGCTCGTATCAGGGCGAAACCCTGACTGAATGTTCCGACTGCCTTTTAAGGTCTATGGAGCAGTAATAACAAGGAAAATTTAAATGTAATCAAACAAAAATTATTTTTTTTTTCAAAAAAATTTGAGATTTTTTGTGAAAACATCTCCCCACACGCCATATTAAGTACAAATTGATAAATTTTGCTCCTATTAACAAATCGATGATGACAAATAGAATTTCTTTAAAAAAATTTGGAACGGTTTGTAAGCGCGTTAATTATCCCAAACTGGTCAAAATGGCCAAAATGGTAATCTTTAAACCCTCATTACTTAACGAAAAATGATCAAAGGTTAAATATTTTTCAAATTTAGGCTCAGGACAACCATAATAAAATAAGCAAACTGAAAAACAATTTTGTAGAAAGATGACAAGAAAAACAAAAAAAAATCAAACAAATTTTCTAAAAAAGTTTCTTTGTTTTTGGCAGTTTTTCATTCAAAAAAAGAGATAAATACTCAAACAAAACTAACGGTAATTGATTTAAAATAATTTTTTACGGCTTAAATTAAACTATTAGAAGCTTTTAGGCTATCAAAATGAGCTAATATAAGCCTGCTCGCTCGGTTTACTCGCTCAAATTTCAACGAAAAATCAAAAACTTCAAACTTGTTTTTCTCGACCCTGGGAATTTTTTGATGTCGTTCAAATCACAACTAAAAAACTTTAATATGATATATCATTCATATCAGTCCTATGATTTTTTGTGGTAGTTGAATTTGCATAGAAAACAAAATGTTATATATAAAAAAAGAAAATAAAACTGAGAAAAACCCGAACACAAAGTTGCTGCCTACTGTTCACTTGGTCAGTACAATAAAACTTAACCAAATAATTTCCCCTTGAATCAATTTTTTGTGGGCAAGAGATTGGTCACCTGGTTCCAAATTCCTACTGATCGAAGTTTGATATTTTTGATATCTGAGTAATTTTGATTCGAGCGACTAATAGAGGATCAAACAGAAAGCCTTCATGTTCTGTCTAAGGATATAAATTTTTTTATGAAGCAGCATATAGATAAAATAACATGAAGGAACACCAGCCTGAATTAAGCTCTGGCGCGTTGTTTTTTTTAGAATCTAGTTTGTCTCAGGCAAAAGGAAATCAAAAAAAATTTCCTATCGACTCTCAAAGTCCAGGAGTCTTCTTTCCTTGTCCAAAAAAAGCAATTTAAACTGATTTTTCGTTGGGCTCAATTATGTCGAAATTTTTGGTCTCTAGCAGTGGGATAGCGGCATAGTTTTCATAAGAAGCTCAAATCTAATTACTTAATTTTCAACTGCATCTAATTTATAGTGGTTTCTTTTGCTTTTTTTTGTCTGGTTCTAGAACAACAAGCCGATGGGATTGCAAGCAAAAGGACTTCAGGTTGAAGTTTAAGCTTTTCGGAAATAAATCAAAGACACTAAAACCTATCTTTATAATGATTAAAAGGGGTATTTTCTGTTATGCCCTCTGAATGGTGAAAAACGAAAATTCGAGTTTTTTTGAGAGATTAAGATAAACCTTACTTAGAAATACAAAGTACAACTAATAAAATAAGGATAGCTGGTTACTGTGCAAATAGCGCTGAATGTTCCGACTATATTCTTAAGCAAATAGTGTCTTTTTTTCAATTTAGTGTCGTTTCTTCTGTGTGGGGTGATGAAACGATGTGAACAAAAACTAAAGTTCAGGCATATTCGTCAGCCATAGTAAATTATACAATTATAAAAACAATTTTTTTTTAAAAAAAATTTCGAGAAAAACACAAAAAAAACAATCAATTAAGTTTTTTGGTAGTTTTTTGATTTTTTAAGGTTATGATTTCGAAAAGGAGCTAAAAATCTCAAAAAACTAATTTAAATGCAAAAAATTAAAACTTTACGACGTAAATTAGGCTGATAGAAGCTTTAAAGCTATTAAAATTAGCTGAGTTAAGCCTACTCGCTCGCTTTATTTGCTGAAAAATAAGCAAAAAACAATATTTTCAAATCTGCTTTCTTGACCCCAGAAACTTTTTTATGTCGTTCATATCACGACTGAAAGCTTTAATATGATATATCGTTTATATCAATCCGATGATCGTTTGTGGTAGCTGATTTTGCGTGAAAAACACAAAAAAAGGTTTTAAGAAAAAAAACGAAAACAAACCCGAAAACAAAGTTCCTCCCTACTTTTCAAAAGGTCAGAAAAAAATATTCAAGCAAATAGTCAACCTTTTTAACAATTTTTTTATGGGAAGTTAACGTGGTCCCGAATTTGTAGTGGTCGATTTTCAATTTTTTGATAGCTGGGTAATTTTGGTTCGAGCGACTAGCAGAGGATCAACCAGAAAGCCTTGATAGGTCTGTCTAATAATAAAACTTTAGTATAAAACAGCATACAGATAAAATAGCATAAATGAAGATCTTATTTAGGCTTTGGCGAGTTGTTTAGGCTTTGGCGAGTTGTTTTCCTTTCAATGTAATATCAAGGCAAAAGGAAATTCAAAAAAACTGCTATCGAGTCTCAAATCCCAGCAAGCCTCTTTCTTTATCCATAAACACAGAAAAAAACATGCTTAACTTATTTTTCATTGAGTTCAATTATGTCGAAAGTTCTGGTCGCTAACAGTGTGATAGCGGCATAGTTTCCGTTAGAAGCTGAAATCTTATTAGTTAATTTTCATTTACATCTCATTTAAAGCGGTTTCTTTTGCTAATACATCTGGGTCTAGAACAACAGGCCAATGGGGTTGCAAGCCAAAAGGACTTCAGGTTGGAGTTTAGGCTTTTCGCAAAGTAAATTAAAGACACTAAAATTTGTCATTATTAAGATCAAAGGGGTGTTTTCTTTTTTGCACCCTGAATGATACAAAATGAAAATTCAAGTTTTTTTTCGACAAAATTTGATTATTTTTACTTAGAAATACAAAATACAACTAATAAATTAAGGATAGCTGGTTATTGTAAATTTTGCGCTTTGTGTTCCGTCCATTGGCGTAAAAAAATAGTGTCGTTTTTTTTCAAATTAGTGTTGTAGTTTCTGTGTGGGGTGATAAAAGGATGTGAACAAAAAAACTAAAGCTTAGGATCATTCGACAACCATAGTAAAAAACCAAATTTAAAACCAATTTTTGTAGAAAAATGACTAGAAAAGCAAAAAAAAACAATCAAACAAGTTGTCAAACACTTCTACAATTTTTTGGCAAATTTTTGATTTTTTGAAGTTTGTGACTTTAAAAACGAGCTTGAAAAAACTTAAGAAAACTAAATTTATTCGAGTAAAATTAAAACTTTTTGGTGTAAATTAAACTAAAAAAAGCTTTTAAGCTATTAAAATTAGCTAACTTAAGACTGCTCGCCCGCTTTATTTGCTCAAAATTAAACGAAAATAAAAAATTCTAAATCTGCTTTTCTCGAACTTGGAAAATTTTTTTAAGTAGTTCACATAACGACTGAAAATTTTAAAAAGAAATACCATTAAAATCAGTTCGATGATTGTTTGTGATAGATGATTTTGCGTGGAAAACAAAAAAATTATTCAAAAAAGAAGAAAAATAAACTAATACAAACCCGATTACAAAATTCCTCCCTATTTCAGAGGGTCAGAACAAAAATATTTAAGCAAATAACCTTCGCATGAATCAATTTTTTCATTGGAAGAGATAGTTCACATGGTCCCAAAATCGTATTGGTCGAATTTCGATATTGTTGATGGCTTTGTTAATTTGGTTCGAGCGACTTGCAGAGTATCAATCAGAAAGCCTTCGTGGGTCTGTCTGAGAATATACCTTTTGTATAAAACAGCATACAGATAAAATAGCATAAAGGAACACCAGCCTTAATTAAGATTTGGCGCGTTGTTTTCTTAGAATCTAGTTTATCTTAGGCAAAAGGAAATTGATAAACTTCTTATCGGTCTTTTTTCTTTTTCTTGTTTGGGTTGGGGGGTTTGGTTATAATTAAAAAGACCCTTGTGTTAGTTTTGTAAAATTTAAAACGTAGCCAACAGACAGCTGGAAAAGAGTCAATGAACGCAAGTAAACCGAAAAAAATACTGACTTGTTTTTTTGAAAAAATCTCAACTATCGATTTTCTGGAATAATGTAAGTCTGACACTTATTTGATAAATTTTCCAAAAAAAAATCGTCACTACCTATATAAGAGTCTGAAATACGTTTGTTCGCCAACTCATAACAAGTTTAGTCATATGACAAGTTTAATATTATAATTGTTATTTGGGCACTACTATGATAGACTGGTCCCTAAAAAAGCAACTGCCAGAAGAACCGCGCTATTTCTCAATCTTACAGACCTGTGCAAACTGTGACTTGTGTGGTTGAAGTGCTCGTTAGGTTAGCCGAACAGAGGTCCTTCACAGACGAAAATGTGAGATTGTAACTGGTCCCAGAGGCCGCCAATGTGATCGACATGTCCGAATCGATTTCCTAAAATTACAACTTTCAAATTTTTCTTGAACCAAAACTATTCGACACGAGTTAAGAGGCAGTCAGAACATTCAGCGATTTGCCCTGATATACAAGCAGTCTTGTCATATTTACCACCCCTCCCACCTTTGAATTACTTTTTTAAAACCTAGATTAATTTTGTCACGATGTAATGAAAATTTGCGCGAGGAACGAGCTAGCTATTCTGAACACAATTTTTGTCTCATATATTACAGCAAAAATTTACGCATTCAGCCTTTACAGCAATAACACGGAAAAATTGTTCTACGTATGTTTTGTGGTGGCGGTGGTAGGAGGTGAAATTTCAGGTCGGGGGGGGGGGCGAAATGTCGCTTTTTCTCAATTCTACCAGGTGTCGCTTTCGAGGAACTGTCGCCTCGCTCTAATGACCGAATGCGCAGAAATGTTCTCAGCCAATCAGATTTCATTATTCAAATCAGTCTGTTTTGTACAGTTTAAAGGTTATCGAGTGGTTGAGAGTTTTCCCGAATGAGAATACCCCCCCCCCCCCCCCATTATGGCCTTTGTTTTACCTGGGGGTTGACGTCCACAGTCACTGTAGCACTACCGACATCCACCCCATTAACATGAGTGAGTTTGTACATGTCAATTGCTCCTTCTATGACAGTCACGCTGTTGCTGGAGGCATTCACGACTACCACATTGTTAGTTGTCGCATTCACTGGTGTAACTTCGGTAGCCGTGAAATTGGGCGCTGCCGGAACTGAAATACACAGAGTCACCTTTCGCCGTAATCCGACAACTCGCAACACAATACAACTCGCATTAAAAGACAACTAGCAATATATACATACTCACCAGTGGAATTAGGGCGGGTGGATAGTTTGTGTGGGTAGGGGCAAAAGGTCCCCCCTTTGTACAATTTTGAGATATCTTGTTTGGCTGGCTAACACTAAAACGTTCTAGAGGCGCCAATATATACAAGGTTTCGGGGAGCGCGCGCCAAAATAAGCAATTTTTGGTCAAAGTTTTTCAAAAAATTACTTAAAAACACCGTTTTAGGCCTGTTTTTTCAAGTGCTTTGGGAGAGCTCGGAAAATCAATTTAATCAACCTAAAACAAATTAGCTAAATTATTTTTTATAGGTTGACCAAATTGATTTTCGGGCTTTTCCCAAATTACTATAAAAAACCTATATTGACCAAATTTTCTGCGCCGCAGGCAATTTTTTTATTAAAAAAAACAGGCCAAAAAGTGCAGTTTTAGGTTTTTTTAGGAAAATGTTCACCAGAAAGTCGGGTTTTTTCGGCGCGCACTCCCTCAAAATTTGTATAGATTGCCGCCAAAGGCGCCTTTAGAAAAAATTTGGTTTACTCAGCCAAAAAAGAACAAAGGGAAACCCTTTGGGTCAGCAGAGAGTCGAATCCCTGAGGGGAGCGTTCGCCCCCCCCCCCCCCCCCCCCCTCTAAACCCGCTACTGATAACACTATATCTTTTTCCTTTCTTACCAAAACAGTACAGGAAAGAGTTAACAGAGAACGGGGTATTATCGAGTTCTAAATTGAAATTTTCAGGCATTCCGAATCGAGTATTTTGCTTAATATTTCTAAGCAAACTTTCAAAAGTAAGATTCAATCCTAAGTTAGTAATTTTATGCTTGACCTCAAACAGCGCATGCATTTAAAATACTTATTTAGAAAAAAAATCCACTTCATATTGAATTGACTTTGACGCTTCTTTTGCTCCGATTTTCGAAGAAAGCGACCAGAAATTTGTCTCGAGGTGGGTTTTATCTCAAGAGAAATTTTGATGTTTTACCTAGCATATTTTGCCGGATTTTTTCTTTTATCAGCCAAAATGTTTTGTTGTCATGAGCGCAAATTTTCAAAGATACGTAAAATTTTTCGTAACACAATCATTTCATAGCAATTACATAACATAACTATTGTTGGTAAAGTTATGGTGGCTTAAAAATTTGGGTCAATTAACACGCGATATAATTCATGCTATCAAGCGTAAGCGGCAATTTAATCCTGCTTTGAATCATGTTTTTTTTCTATACAAGACCTTGCTAGATACAAAATATGTCATTTTGTACTTTATAAAGCGTATGGGGGGATAAATTTTTAGGGTGAGTAGACGCTCACTGCTCCAGGGATTCGACCCCCTGCCGACCCAAAGTATTCCTCCTATGTACTATTTTTGACTGACTGACCCTAAAGTTTTTATATAGGCACCAGTATACAAAAATTTTGAATGGGGAGTGCGGATCAAATAAATGCAATTTTTCCGTTGACATTTTCTAAAAAGTACTAATAAACCGCCTTTGTGGCCTGCTTTATTTTCACAATTTTATCATTTTTTTTCGAATCTAACACAACTCGATGATTTATACCTCAGTCAAACCATTGAGGGCTTCGCCCTGATACGAGCAATTTGTTTAACCATATTAGTTTTCAAAAAATCTATTTTTCCGTTGAAGATATTTATAGCTAAAGAAAAGTTAAACTTGGATAGCATTACAATGAATATCATCAATGTTGGATTGTTAAGGTAACTAATTTTCGGAAAATTGATCTGAAACTCGAAATTTTCAGACCCCCAACGAGTTTTCTTTGAGGTGGCCGAAATTTAAAAAAATACATTCTACAGCATGCTTTTCTCCCTTCACTTCTTGAAGTGTTCGGAGCAAAAATGAGAACAAAAAAAATCAAGAAAACAACTTCAAAAGCTAGAAAAAAAGCGTTCTGTTTGCCTATTAGGTCTTTTTTCACTCTTTTTGATGAAAGAAAAAGTGCAATTTATCTTTAACGACAATGATCCAGCAATTTTTCTACAATTTTGCTATCTAAGTCTGTGGTGTGATGAGAAACTTTTAACAAAAGCATGAAACTTAGACTTATTATATAGTATGTTAATAATGGTAAATTACTGATATTTTTTTGAACCGTTTTTTCTCCTGTTGTCAAAAACTAAATATACAAATTGAAAGAAATTTTTTTTTAAACACAGAGACGGAGCGGAGCTTTGCTCGATTCGCAATTAAACAAGACTGCTCGTATCAGGGCGAAGCCCTGAATGTTCCGACTGCCTTTTAAGGTTTATGGAGCAGTAAAAACACACAAAAAAATGATTTTAATAAAATAAAAGGATTTTTTTTTCTAAAATTTGAATTTTTTTTTGAAATTATCCCCCACACGCCATATAAAGTGCAAAAGGATAGTTTTCGCTCCTTGTAACAAATCAATTATGGCAAGTCAGCTTCTTTCAACCAAACTGGGATAATTTCTAAGACGGATTAAATCTCCGCTTACGCATTAATAGCGCGAAATATATCGCGCGTTAATTGTCCCAAATTGGTCAGAATGGCAATCTTTAAACCCCCATAACTTTACAAAAAATGATCACAGGTAAAATATCTTTTCAAATTTAAGCTCAGGACAACAATACCTTTTGAATGATATAAGAAAATTCCGCCAAAAATGGCTAGTTAAAAAGTCGAAACTTGTCTGAAGAAAAAAAAACCCACCCCGAGCACAAATATTCCGTTACTTTCGTATCGAAAGTCGGAACAACAAGTGTTGAATTGAAACGGCGAAACTCAAGAACTATCAAAGACGTTTTCGAACGTTGTACCTGTTGAAAAAACGACAAGAAAAACAAAAAGAAGTAGGCTAGCATCTTATCGATCGCATAAATGATGTCGGAAATTTGTAGGAATCAAATTTCAAGGTAAATAAGCCGACTGAAATAAAGTCAACAGAGGAAAATCAACCAAAAGGCCAGAAAATTTTTTTGGAGCAAAATAAATGTACTGCCCAATTGGTGATCCCTCCAGCATTTTATGGGGTAAATGTAATGTGGGTTCCGTGTTAAAACATTCAGCCAATCTGGATAGAGCATTTATTCAATGCATGCCCACTGCCACTATATTCATACGTTACAAGTTTTTTGGTATGTTTCGAAGCCCTGAGAAGCAATAAAGACTTACGTGTGCAAACTGTAACTTGGGCGTAATTTTTAAGTTCGTCAGTGTCCGAAACACCGCACTCGGTGAGGCTGGACACTTCAACACCCACGCCCAGTGTGTAGGAAGAGCCAGCTGTCAAACCAGTGAAACTCACGTTAACGTCAGCGGGATCTTGACCTGTGAATCAGAATGAGTTTTCAACAAATGAGTTGAGTGAGTTTTTTATATAGACACCCATTTCGTCTCTCGTGTGGCTTGTAATTTTTTTTCGATGTTTTTGAACACTCAGTTTTGGTTGGTTCATTTAAAATTTCAGTTTATCAACCTTCTATCATTCGTGACGCCACCAATAAAACCAACTTAAATCCTCTTTTATTGAAAATAAACATAGCCAACAGACAGTTGGAAATGATTCAATGAACAAAAGTAAACAGACAAAAAAGCTGATTGGTTGAGAAAACTGGGTGAATAACTTAATATTCTACATAATTGCTTCTACATAAGTGACGCAAGCCAATTATGACGCATTAGCAGTACCAGTCATTTAAAAAAATAGAAATTTACTAACTAACATTCCTCAATTTATAGAGCGGACGCAATTTAACTAGTATACGAAAAAAGTTCATTAAGACATCCGACCCTGCCCAGGTTCGAACCCTCTTGTTTTGCTGCGGGTCTCCTGCCCTACTTCTACGCTACAGATCCATTATACCTTGAAGCTGGAAGTGCAATTTGTAATATAATAATCCGTGTTAATATCCTTAATATTGGCTGTACATAATAACTTGTTATTGATCAAAAAGAATCCTTTCAAAATGAACACTTTTTGTCGCAATATTCGCGTTGCAACAATATTTGCGACTTAGCTTCGGAAAAAAAAGAATTGGTGCTATAAAACAAGTTTAGCTTGTGTAAATAAAGAAATTGAACTGAAACTAAAGAGAAATCAAAAATCAAAAGCGAAAAACAAATTTGAACCTGAACAAATTTTAAGACTTTCTTGGAAAAAAAAATATCGCGACCTATATGAAGTCTGATCTACGTTCATCGACTCTTAAAAACTCAACTACGCATTTTCGCTATAACTAACGCTACACAAAGTGGGACCAAGAAGTTAACAAAATGTAGGTAGCCTAAGGAAACAAAACGAACAACGAACGGTAGGCAGACAAATCTGTTTTTTTTTTCGTTATACCAGCCCTAAATAATAAAGAAAGAAAATGAAAAGAATGAAAGCGAATCACACGGCGTTTAAAATAGTCCAAATTTACGAAATTTATGAGACAGAAAGCCAGTTTGAGGTTGAATTAGGTCAAACTGCTACATTTTGAACAGTCACATAATAATATATTGCCTTCCCTAGCATATCAATTCAATTTTAGTTTTTGATCTTCGTCATTAATGGGGGTGGAAGAATAACCCATAAAATTATCTCTTTTAACTATTTGGAATATACTCGAGCAAAATATATAATCGTGGATAATCAGCGGACAATTGCCGGATAAAGCCAGTTTTTGAAAACTGTGTATAAATTTCAGAATCACTAGGGTTGATGGGGCTTGTGGCTATTCTTGAAGGGCAGCCAATTTTCCGTAGTCAACAAAGTAGCCTAATAACTGGACTTCAAGAGATAACCTGAGTGTATCGATAAAATTAATTGAAAAGCATGCTCCGTTCGCATTTCGCCACAGTTTAAAAACTAGTTTCGAAGTCGGTCAAAAAATTTTCAAGAAAAAATGAGAAGGAGGTTCCGATTACATTTCTGCCCCAGTTTTGATATTCGTAGGTTTTCTGATTTCCGGTTTTCTCGTCAATGTGGCCCATTAAACGGAACTTTCAGGCCTGCAAATACGCGAAAGATAGTAGGTAATTGCTCGAAGTGTCTTGGTTCCATTTTAAATGCTCTTTTAAGCAAACTTATGTCTTTTTGCAAATAAATTTTAAGGTTTTTTTCACTCATCCCGCCACCATTGAAATGGGGAGGAACTCTGTTTTCGGGTGTGTTATAGTTTTTGTCTTTTTGACGCAAAATCAGCTTCCACGAACAGTCAGAGGAATAGGTCCAGTAACATATCATATTGAAGCCATTTCAATCGTGATTCAAACGATATAAAAACAATTTCAAAAGGTAATCCTGTTGTCGAGAAAAACGGGTCTGAGATTTTCGAGATTTAGTCTAATTTCGAGCGAGTAACGCAATCAGGTAGCGTTGGTTATATGACAAATGGTCCTTTCGGTTAAAAAAAACTACGTTTTATGAAAAAAAAATAAACTAGTATTAATGATTAATGCCTTGACAAAAAATTTATTTAAAAAATTGAAAAATTGTGCGAAAATTAGAAAAAAAAATTGTTGAAAATTTTTTCAATTTTTTGTTTGTTTTTAATTTTTTGAAGACAAATGTTGTCAGATCATTTGCCTTCAAGGACAAATGTTGCCGTATCTGTCTATTTCACTACATTTCTCGCGTTAGTATATTTTTACATTACATTGCGCACAAAAAAAACTACTCTAAATTGAAAAAAAAAATGTTTTTTTTTTGTTTTTTTTTCTAAATGAATGTGGTCGGAACATTCTGTGGTACTTGCACAGCAACGGGCTATTCTTTTCCCTAAGACATCCAATGGCTTTTTTCCCTAAAACATCGAGATTTCCCTTTCTTGTATTTTTAAGCCTTGCAGGTTGTTGTTTATTTCATTCTTCGAGTAGCGATAGTCGCTTTTTTTCTTGATAAAATTTCAGTTTTCTTGCGAAATTTGTTCAGAGTTGTATACCTTTCGATTGGAAGACAGAGCTGCTTCCAAAAAGTTCTTGAGCGTTTTTTCTTTCACGCAGTAAAGAACGTGAGTTAGTTTAATAAAAGTGCTTAAACGAGATGAGCAGCTGAGTTTTTCAGCGCAAATGAAAACTTCAAAAAAGCTTGCTCTTAGGTTTGATAAAAAAATACGCTGAAAGTTAATTTTTTCCAGGGGCGGATTTAGAGGGAAGGTCGGACGCCCTCTCACAAAAACTTTATGTTTTGGTCAAAATTTTTCATAAAATGCCTAAAAAAGCGTTTTTGGCCTGTTCTTAGAAAAAAGTCGACAAAATTTTGAAAATTTTTTCTTTTGTTTTTTATATTTTACATCGCTTCATCCCGTATTTAGCCGTAATAAGACGTCATGTAAAACAAATGTGAAAATCGATTCTTTGAAAAGAGGGGAAAACAGAAAAGAACCATTATTTCCATGCACGTCTCAATTTTTAACACTTAAATTTGATAATATCAGCCTAGCCTTCATATTTAGTCAATATTTCATTTGCTGAAAATTTGTCCACACCATTTCAAGGGCAATCAGAACATTGAAGGCGTCGCCCTGATACAAGCAGTCTTGTTTATTATATAACTTATGATTATTTTTGCTACAAACGTGTGTCTTTCTCCGTATTTTACTCGAGCTCAATCCTAGAATTGGCTTATGTTTTACAAGCCCTTCCCGCTATAGCGATCAATGGCTTCATACTTTTTGAAATTTATTATTTGTAGTAAGTTTAAAAAAAACAATTGATGCCTTTTGGCGGGCGCAGTTTTTAATTTCTCCCAATTTTAGGCCGTGAAACAAAAGGTACCTGTCAAATTAGTCGTTGAGTCCACTGGGGAGACTCCGGCACCCCAGGTATCGAAGCCACCGCTAGCAACCGTAACTGACTCTATGATGACTTTGTCCTCGAAATATGCTGAAGCCACCGAATGAACAGTCACTACAGGTGTGTCCGGCACTAAAACGACATAAAATTGCTGTGAATCACTACATAAACCCCCACACTAAAAATTGATTGAAAAAACTAACTTACTAGCCCGGTAGTCCGGTAAAATACCCACTTAAATCTAATCCTCCTCACCCCCCCCCCCCTCCCGCCCCCTGAAAATGTGGGTCTACAAAGAACAATATCACCTACGCTCGATTATTTTCCATATATTCGCTCAGGGCTCAAATTTGCGTGGGGGGAGGGGGGGGGGGGTAAGAAAAAAGATAAAATGTAGGTATCAAGAGCGGTGCTGTCTGAAAGACATCCGAGCAGCCAGATAGTTTTCAGCTATTCAAAACTTCGATTACTTAAGTAAAATTGACATAATTGCAAATAGCTGCATGCAATTCGAACACGACTGCTGGTATCAGGCGAAGCCCTGAATGTTCCGACTGCCTTTTAAGGCCTATGGAGCATTAAAAACGTAAAAAAATGTTTTAAAAAATAGACCAAATTTGATGCCAGAAATCAAGAAGAAAAGATGTCTAGGACGGATTAAATCTCCGCTTACACGTTAATAGCCCGAAATATATCGCGCGTTGATTGTCCCGAGTTGGCAAAATGGTAACCTTTAAACCTCCATAACTTTAAGAAAAATGATCACAAGTGAAATATTTTTTCAATTTTAGGCTCAAGACAACAATACTTTTGGAAAAATATTTTTAAAATTCCGTCAAGAATGACTAGTTAAAAAGTCGAACTTTGTTTGAAGAAAAAACCACCCAAGCACGAATATTCAGCTACTTTCGTTACGAAAGTCGGAAAAATTACAGCAGTTACTATTTTATTATGGCTATTGGCCGTGGAGTAACGAAGTTCAAAAGATCTCGTTAGCTAAGAGCTCTACTATATTATTTTTTATCGAACTGGCCCCCTTATAATGGAAAAATTGAATAATTGGGCCAAAATAAATTTTGTACCTTGTGACGAATTGGTCCTCCTTTAGAGGAAGAATTGAACAATAAAGAATATACGAATTTTGCACCTTGTATCAAATTGGCCCTCTATAAAGGAAAAGTTGAACAGTTAAGCGTAAACAAATTTTGTACCTTTTGAATGATATGAAAAAATTTGACAAAATCGGCTAGTTAAAAAGTCTAATAATGTCTGAAGTAAAAAACACCCCGTGCACAAATATTTCGTTAATTTCGTTACGAAAGTAGAAACAATAATTAAGTTACCTTGAATTGTTTTATTCTGTGTATAGATCCGATCAGAGGGCGGATCTAGGATTTTCTCGAGGGGTGTTTTCAAAGGGGGCAGATTTTCTCGAGTGGGACGGGTTTTCTCGATAGGTGGGCTTTTTTAGGTCGACCAAATTGATTTTCCGAGCGCTCCCAAAAAACTGTAAAAACCCTATTTTTACCAAAATGTTTGCGCCGCAGCAAAATTAAAAAAAAAAAACAGGTCAAAAATGCCGTTTGTGGGCACTTTTTAGAAAATTTTGACCAAAAAACACTTTTTTTTGGCGCGAGCTCATCTTCAAAATTATTATATAATGGTGTCAACGGTGCATTTAAGAAAAATTTATGATTGGTTGGCCAAAAATGGATGTCATGAAATAACACCAAAGGGTCGAGTCCCTGAAAAAAAAGCGCCCTAAATCAGCCCCTGGATCAGACCCATTCAATGATATTTGTGAACCAAAAGCAACGTGATATTGTAACATCAACAAAAGCTCTAAAAACGTGGTAATTGTAATCAAAATGTGAATTTAGGGTCTATAGAAGCCGGATCGACAAACAATTTCAAACAAGAAGTTAGATTTTTGACAAAATGGTGATTATTGGCGGCTTTCCCCTCGTCCTCAAACATAGTATATTTTGCACCTCAAACTATCCCCTTAGTTGCAGATATGTAGTAGGCGCTTGTTGTAGAATTTGAGGCTTTGAAACTTTTTGAAGAAGAGTTATAGCAAAAAAACCTCGGCTTACCAGTGCATGCTATGATCTTCAATTCCGCTCCAGGTAGGTCTGTCGTGGGTCCATTCATACAGCCCGTGATGATACTCTGAAAAAAAAATAATTTCCTTTCTGGAATCGCAGAGGATATCAAATGATGTGTTATCTGTGTACAAATAGTCTGTTTGGCAATTTTATTTCCGCTTATTCAAGACTTTGACATCGGAGCTCTTTTTTGCGGGTATTCAAGATAGTTTTTTATGCAATCTGAAAATTTTTTTGTTCCAGAAGCGCTCGTTAAATTTTTGAAATAAATGGCCCCTCCATACCTTGCACTAAGGTTTAAGGCTCAATTCATATTACAAAAGTATTCAGATTTTGATAAAAATCTTTAATTGATGATCGAAACATAATTATTGAAATTCAAGTTTGATCTTTGTTTCGACTTTAGGAGAAATTGCGAAATAATTATGCTCAGGTTGGTTTTTTATTCTGTCAATTTCCGATTTTTTAGTTAAGCATTTTAGATAAGAAACGTTTTACACCATCAGAAAAATATTGTTGTCTTGAGCTCAAATTTAAAATTGTTAATTTGACCAATTTGCGTCTACTAACGCTCAGAATATAACGTTTTTAGAACACGCGTAAGCGACGTATTATTTCGTTCAAATTGTATAAGCAATTCATTTGATCGTAATATTGTTCCAATTTTCAAAGAAAATGGATTAGTTATGTTTGGGCCGGTTTTTTTATTCAGTGAATTTTCGTTTTGTTAACCAAGGTATTTCAACGGAATGTTTTTATATCATCTAAAACATATTGTCATCCGTAGATATAATTCAAAAAATTAGAATAAAGAAAACCAAAATAAATTGAGGCCAATTAATTGATCTTTTTAAAGGAGAAACGCTAAATAAATCTTTTTTTAATTCATATTAGCGGGGGAATAAATTGAAGGCAAAAAAATGATTTCAATTATTTGTTAAAAAAATTTTCTACCAAATTATTTTTTCATTGAACTTCAAGCTCAGCCGCTACTTTCGGGCTTTCCTTGGATATGCGAGAAGTCTTGTTTTGCCGACTTTCATATAAAATACTTGTGCTTGGAGTAATTTTATTGTCCTGAGCTCAAACTTTCACACAAAATTTTTATTTTGTGATTAATTTTGGCAAAATTATGGGGATTCAAATATTGGCATTCTTGGCCAGTTTAGGGCAATTAACGCGCAATACATTTTGTGCTATTAACGTGTAAGCGGAGATTGATTTATTGTTCCGAATTTCGTAACGAAAGTAGCGGAATCTTTGTGCTTGGGTTGGGTTTTTTTTTCTTCAGACAATATTCGACTTTTTAGCTAGCCATTTTTGACGACATTTTTTTGTCATTCGAAAGCTTTTGTTGTCTTGAGCTTAAGTTTCAAAAAAATATATGTTTTACCTGTGATCATTTTCATAAAATTATGGGACTTAAAGATTACTATTTTGGCCATTTTCGGACAATTAACGCGCGATCTATATCGCGCTATTAATGCGTACGCGGAGATTTAGTCCGTCTTAGAAGTTGTACTAAATTGGATCAAGGAAGCTTATATGCCCTAAGTGATTTGTTAATAGGAGCAAAATTTATTACTTTGTACTTAAGATGGCGTATGGGGGATGTTTTGACAAAAAATCTCAACTTTGAAAAAAATATATTTTATGATTTTTTTTCTAAATTATTCTTGTTATTACTGCTCCAGGGCCTTGCACTGATACGAACGGTCTTGTTCCGCCCTAGAAATCGTTCCATCTTGATTTGCGGCATCAAACTTGGTCTATTCAATGCTTTGTTATAGCCAAAATATATCACTTTGTACTTAGTATGGCGTGTATGGGAGCGTTTTTTTTTAAAGTTTTTTGTCATTTTTCTTTTGAGCAATTCGTCAATTTTAAAGCAAACATTATTCCATAGAACTTAAAAGGTATTCGGAACATTCAGGGCTTTGCCTGATACGAGTGATCTTGTTTTGTTTTCTCATTGTTTTTTTTTAATTTTGAATCAAGATCCCAATTATGTGCAATTTATTAAATTCAATTGCAACTGCTGGCTTTTAACAATCAATCAATTTTCGCCTCAATTTTACTGATATTTTTTTCACCATTTAATTTGAACATCCCAGTTGTCAATCCCGCTTGTCACCTCATAAAGCATACTCAATTGTAGGAGCGGATTTAGGGGAGGTGGGCGGACGCTTCCCCCCCCCCTCAGGGGTTCGACCTTTTGCCGATTCAAAAGGTCCCCCCTCGGTACTATTTTGAGATATCCATATTTAATGACGGACCCTAAAACTTTTGTAAAAGTCCTTTGGCGCCAATATATATATATATCAATTTTGAGGGGGGAGCGCGCGTAGATAAAACGCAACTTTTTGGTCAAAATTTTTCAAAAATTGCTAAGAAAAACCCCCGTTTTGGCCAGTTTTTTTAAACCTTCTCAATGAAATCAATTTAAAGTGTTCATAATTCTTGTGGGTGAGCTTAACCACTTTTTTTCACTCACCTGAATCGATATGTTGTAAGCTGTTCCTGGGTTCAGAGAGCTCAAAGTCATATTATTTCCTGTAACTACTGCAGTTCCACCTTGAGTATTGATCGGTCCTGTACTATTACCATATCTAAAATTATCAGACAAGACTGCTAAAATCAGGGCGAATTTGAAGTTTTACCATCGAAATAAATATGTTTTTAGGATTTTACAAACAAGATCAAAATTGAATCACATGGATATCAAGCAGATGTGTAGAAAAAAAGGTAAACCGAAAAAAGGGGTAAACTTTGAAATCTCATCGTAGATATTTTAATTCAGAAGTATCGATAAAAATCCTAATTCATCCGATGAAAAATTATGGTTAGTCGACTAGATACGAATTTCGTATGTGTTGCAAATAGCTGATAGTTTCTTGCTCAAGAGGGGGCAGCGTCTCCTCCCTTAAATCAAATTCAGATGCCAGGCAAGAAATTAATTGATGGATGCAAACCGACCCACACAAACAAGCCGTTCACATTAGAGATTTCAATGGAATTAGGTAGTAAATTTTTTAATCAAAACTTTTCCTCTCCCAGATGACATTTGCATAACCGAATTTAAAAGACAAACTAAACCAATTACTGTAGAAGTAGCTCAGCGTTTTCCGACCATTGCTATCATACAAAAAATATAGAAATTTTTAGTTGGTGTTAATATTATGAATTGATCATTACACAGATTATCACAACTTCTTTTAAAAAGAATGACACGCCATTTAGATAAATAGAACTTAGAAACTTTAAATAGTTATGACCTCGTAGACATCCTTGTTTTCGCTCTTTGCTATAAATATCGTCTAAATAGCAAAAAAAAAATCTTTTTTTTCGACTTTTTCTCGATACTTTTCGAGCCATTTAATATATTTTTTTGGGGGCTTTAAAGCATAACTGAAAATGCTTGAATATGATACACACTTAGCGACTTAGGAACATGCTTTGAGATTTTTTTTAGCTGATATCAACGATGTTTTAAGCTGATTTAACTTGATAAAAAATAACAACTCGTACTGTATCCCGTTCCTACGATCTCTAGCGGGTGGTGCAAACAATAAGTACAATGAAGGGACAATAGTCATAAACTGTAACTTACTCATTAATGACAGTCTTGTTCACAGTGCCGCTGACAGCAGGTACCGAGATTTTGTCTCCGTCAATTGTGATCGAAGTTGTGGTGATGATTGTGCCGGGATTGGCCAGAGTCACCGCTCCTGGTGCTAAAAAATCACCATACCACTTAACTTTTGCATCAGTTTAGCATGATTTAATTTTTAATGCGGCACCGCTTACAAAAGTCGAGACAGATTTCAGATCTGTGCTAATTGCGCTTTTCCAATGCGCACCAATTTACAAAAAATTATAATAGCTCATTCACTACGTAAACTTCTTCAGCAGCAAAATTTTATAAAAAATCGAAAATTGCACGGTAATATAGGCACGATTGTCTTTAAAAACAGCCAGCAAATTGTTTCTGACTAATTGAGAATTGATTGGCTGCAGGTTCTTGTCAATTCAATTTTCTGTGAATATGAAAATAGCCCGCTATTTTTTGTCGCAATATCGATTTTATGCTCAAATAAATTTTTTTCGAACTTAAAACATTTGTGATTTTATTATAGTCGTTAACGTAGTTCAGGCTGAGTTTTAGGCAGGTTGAGATACAAATAAAATGCAATTGACTATGATTTTTTGCGCGAATCCAAATTTGAAAATTTTATGCTTTTATACCTAACCTACTTTTATTTTAATGGTGACAAAAGTATTTTAAACTGCCAAAAAAATCAGGCCACGATTATCGACTGAAAATTTTTTTGACTAAATACTTACTAGCCATACTCAAAAATTTACGATTAGAAGAAAACTGAAATACGTAGAATAACACAAATCTCAAAAATAACTCAAGCTTTCGTATGGATATATTGAAACAAGGAAGTAAGAGTGTAAGACTAAGTATTCACAGGAACCTATCCGATAGAAAACAGACGGTGTACTCTATTCGAAACTACTCTGTGAGAAAAAAAGTAAAACTTTTTGTACCGACTTATGAATCTCCACCCCAAAAAAAATACAGTCGGAGTATATATCAGTATATCCTATAAAAAAGTTGTACTGATTTTTGTTCCAACTTTCGAAGAAAGTGCGGAATATATATATTTGAGGATTTTTTTCATTCAACCAATTTACAGTTTACAAAAGACTATTGCTCACTTTGGGAACCAATCCTTTTGTTTTCGTTTGTCCAGCTGTTCGTACACGGTACTATATTATCCCGACTAAAATTACTGCCTGAAAATAGTCTATGTAAACTTATCTTTTTATACTTTGATGCTGAAAGTGTAAATTTTAGTGCTTTTAGTGTGAATTATCCTGCACCACAACAAAATTCCAAATTGAATTGAGGAAAACTAATTGGTCTCAATAAATCCAAATGCGACTCAAATTTTAACACACTAAAATTAAGATTATCATTGAAAAATAAATCGCTCTAAACTTCACTATGAAAGACGAGGGAATATCGGACTGAAATGCAACGTCAAGCTAGCCTAGATACTGTAGCATGTATAACTGGAGCTTCAAAGACATTTGTTCGGAACTGACAAAATTTTTTGGGAAAAAGCTTGTTTGCGCATAGAAATGATTTCACGACATAGTAAAATCGTTGAAAAAGTGTCTAGTTTTCTTAAAAGTTTTTAAAACCGTCGACTTCATGGATGTAAGATATCGTCGACTTCGTGATCACAGTAAATTTGGGGGATCAATTTATCACAGTCTCCCTTCCATAGTGGTTTAGGGGGTTGCGGATCTGCCTATTAGCATGAGTGTCAATAAGCATGCCTATGTGAATATAGTTTGAAGATTTGTACAAGTGTGCTAGAAGGATTTCGATAAAAACCAAGTGTGACGGGGGGTCCCAAATCATGCTAATCTTAAGCAAATAAAGCAATTAAGTTAATCAATAGACGCTCGCTACCCGAGCGTTTCAAGACTTTTTCACAAACATAATTAACCTGCCTTATTTACGCTGACTAATTTTGTTTGATACTTTAAATCACATTACCGAGGCAAGTTGGGGTCTTTTAACTTAATAAACCCGAAATTCAATATATCAACGTCTTGAAAAAATTTATTTTGCTTCAATGTGATTGGCTAGAATAAGCCAATCAATTTTCAGTGCCATCTAAAATGCTTTGTTCACAACTTCAAGTCATTTTCAAAAAAACCGAATAGGCCAAAATTTAAAAAATGTTTGGTATAATATTCAAACTTATTTCAAATATGCTGGATATTTTTACCCAATAAAATGCAGAAAACTGCTCCAAAAAATACCACCTTTATAGCTGCTCACAATTCTGCCTTGTTAGAAATCGGCTAAAGAGTACAGTGATTGCATTTGTATTAACCAAACCAACCATGCTATCAATGTTTTGTTCTCTTTCTCTACATTTACAACTTGAGTATTACAAAACCGCGAAATTAAAAAACTTGGGCGGAATAAGTAAAACGATCATAAAAACGAACAAGACTGCTCGTATCAGGGCGAAGCCCTGAATGTTCCGACTGCCTTTTAAGGTTTATTGAGCAGCAGTAATACATAAAAAAATGAAATGAAATAAAATAAAATGAAATTTTTTTTTTAATTTGAAATTTTTTAAGGAAAATCATCCCCCCACACGCCATATAAAATACAAAAAGATAGATTTCGTTCCTTGTAACAAATCAATTATGGCAAATAAGCTTCGTTCAACCAATTTGGAACGATTTATAAGACGGATTAAATCTCCGCTTACCCGTTAATACCGCGAATTATATTGCGCGTTAATTGTCCCAAATTGGTCAAAATGGCCAAAATGGCAATCTTTAAACCCTCATAACTTTACGAAAAATGATCACAGGTGAATTATTTTTTCAAATTTAAGCTCAGGACAACAATACCTTTTGAATGATAAAAAAAAAATCCGTCAAAAAAGGCTAGTTAAAAAGTCGAAATTTGTCTGAAGAAAAAAAAAACCCACCCGAGCACAAATATTCCGTTACTTTCGTATCGAAAGTCGGAACAACAAGACTGCTCGTATCAGGGCAAAACCTTGAATGTTCCGACTGCCTTTTAAAGTTTATGAAGCAGTAATAACCTATAGAAAAATTGAATGTAATAAAATAAAATGAAAATTTTCTTCTTCTAAAATTTGAAATTTTTTATAAAAATCATCCCCCCACACGCCATATAAAGTACAAAAGGATAGATTTCGTTTCTTGTAACAAATCAATTATGGCAAATAAGTTTCGTTCAACCAATTTGAAACGATTTCTAAGACGGATTAAACCTCCGCTTACGCGTTAATAGCGCGCAATATATCGCGCGCTTAAGAAAAATGATCACAGGTGAAATATCTTTTCAAATTTAAGCTCAAGACAACAAACCCTTTTGAATGATATAAAAAAATTGCGTCAGAAATTGCTAGTTAAAAAGTCGAAATTTGTCTGAAGAAAAAAAACCCACCCCGAGCACAAATATTCCGTTACTTTCGTATCGAAAGTCGGAACAACAAGACTGCTCGTATCAGTGCGAAGCCCTGAAAAATCCGACTGCCTTTCAACGTTTATGGAGCAGTAATAAAATAAACAACATAGAAAAATTGAATGAAATAAAACAAAATGAAAAACTTTTCTAAAATTTGAAAATTGTTCTTTGAAAATCATCACCCCACACGCCATATAAAGTACAAAACAATAGGTTTCGCTCCTTGTAACAAATCAATTATGGCGAATAAGCTTCTTTCAATCAATTTTGAACGATTTCTAGGACGGAAATAAATCTCCGCTCACGTGTTAATAGCGCGAATTATATCGCGCGTTAATTGTCCCAAATTGGTCAAAATGGCCAAAATGGCCAAAATGGCAACATTTAAACCCTCATAACTTTACGAAAAAGTATCACAGGTAAAATATTTTTTCAAAACTAAGCTCAAGATAACCATAGCTTACGAGTGATATAAAAAATTTCCCTCAAAAATGGCTAGTTAAAAGTCGAAATTTGTCTAAAGAAAAAAAACCCACCCCGAGCACAAATATTCCGTTACTTTCGTATCGAAAGTTCGAACAACAAGACTGCTCGTATCAGGACAAAGCTCTAAAAGTTTCGACTGCCATTTAACGTTTATGGAGCAGTAATAACATAAACAACATAAAAAATAAACAAAAATAAAAAAAAAAATGAAAAACTTTTTTTCTAAAATTTGAAAATTTTTCTTTGAAAATCATTCCCCCACACGCTATATAAAGTACAAAACAATAGATTGCGCTCCTTGTAACAATTCAATTATGGCAAATAAGCTTCGTTCAACCAATTTCGAACAACTTCTAAGACGGATTAAATCTCAGCTTACGCGTTAAAAGCGCGAATTGTATCGCGCGTTAATTGTCCGAAATTGGTCAAAATGGCAATCTTTAAACCCTTATAACTTTACGAAAAAGGATCAGAGGTGAAATATCTGTTCAAATTTAAGCTCAGGACAACAATAGCTTTCGAATGATAAAAGAAAATTCCGTCAAAAATGGCTAGTTAAAAAGTCGAAATTTGTCTGAAGAAAAAATCCAACCCCGAACACAAATATTCCGTTACTTTCGTATCGAAAGTCGGAACAATAACTTTTAAGCGTTTCATTTACATTAGGAACCCTGTTAGTTTCTAGGGACCCCTTTATCACATTTGTTCCTGAAGATTCGCAGATTCGCTACTTCCCGTTTTTTTTCTACTCAAAATTGCTATTATTAACAGCGTTCAGTAAAACGAATTTTCAGCTGGGTGAAACTGAAAAATTAACTCCCCTAACAAATCAAGTGGTTTTCGAAATTATTTGAAGTTTTGCGCTATTTTATCGTCTGAAAGCGCCCCCAGTTAAAGCAATTAACGCATGCTAATAGGCACACATGCTAATTGCTTGATAGAGGATGATCTTGACTCTTTTTTGTTGAAACTTTCAACAAGCAATCAGAATTGACTGTTTTACGAGCAGCGCTTAGTCATTTCAAGTCACATTTGTCAGTGACATAGAAGCAGAAGATCTTTTCTGTTGGTCTATGCTTCCTTTAGACACGAATGACCGCATGTGTCAAATTTTGTTAACTAATGAGATTTCACCATTGATAAACTCAGAAGGAATAAGCGTCAAAATCAGTCAGTTCAGGACAATTTTAAGGGTTTTGATTGGTCGAGACTTTTCGCGCATTCGGCTCTTCGTGCTTGAGAATCCCCAGGGATAGTCATGCAGTACATAATAACCCTTTGTAATGGCAGTAGTCAATTATATATCTCATCCAATCAGAACGTGGCTCTTTTTCCTTTTCCCCCCCACCTCACATGAGCATCAATTTTATGGTCTAACGAGTGGTTTTACAAGGTTACTTATGAAGACCAAATATGTTTGTCATGGCCTAATTTATTTGCATGTCAATTTTTATGACAATCGGACAATGCGAACAGTAATTTTAATTATAAAAAATTGTAGGTGGGGGGGAAAAGGAAAAAGAGCCCAGAACGTTTTACCTTTCTTAAAGAATCTGGTGAATTGCGTGCGTGATAACAATTCTGCCAAGGTTTATTCGGACCATTTATAGGATTTCTGCTGATTAGAACTCTCGGCCATTTGATCCTTATGTTATGAGAAAAATCTCATTGGTACAATTATAACAATCGGGTGCATTTCTGCAATGCTGGTTTTAACTTGGTTCCAAGCTGATTTTCTAGCGAATCTGAATCGAGTAATTTTTAAGTGAAATTAAACAGAGAAGTAGAAAGTTTCTATTTTTTTCTTCTAGGTCTGGAATATCCTCATCTTCATATCTTCGGGAAACAGGGGGGGGGGGGGGGGGTTGTTGAATGGATCCAGTAAGGGGCGGAGCAACTATGTTTGTAATTTGAAGCAAATTACTCACACGTGCAGAGGTCGAAAGTTTGCGGGTAGCTTTGGGCTATGACGTCACAGTTCAAATCATCATCAAACCCCTCGACTACCTGTAACAAATAAAAATGAAAATTCAAAAGGATTTTGTTCCGTTTGATTAATGTTGATGAATTGCACCTCGTAATTTTTAAGATTGCCCTAAAAAACCATAATTTTTTGAAAATTAAACTGCAAGTTCTAATTTGGTAAAATTATTATCAAGAATTTCAAGCCATTTGCCTTGTTTTTCGACAAAATGTCACCTGCTTAGAAAAATGCTGACGAAAACAGTATAAATTGTACCTGGACTTTGTACAAGGTTCCAGCTGCCAGGTTCGAGATCAGAGCGCTCTTGCCATTTCCTCTAAACTCAGTTGGTGGGTCGATAGTTGCAGTAGGGGTGTCCAGGACTTCTGTGACCGTCATGCTGCCTTTGTAGTTTATGCCCAAATCGTCCAAAGAAATTCTGATTGAAGTGTCGTTTGTAGTGAGCGTGTTATTCGGTATGAGGCTCGGAATATTCGGAGCTGAAGTTATTAAGTGTTTATACATATGCACAGCTTCAGTTGATTAGAATAAGCGTAGCAGATGATCTATCATAAACACTATTTTGAATTTTAATTAAATATTTTGAATTCTCTGAGGCTTTCTAAAAATGTTATTTGATTCAATTGCTTCAAAATCTACAGATAAAATGTTGCCGCCTTCGATTTGCAAAGTCATCATGATTTGAATATTTTGTGTAGTATAACATTTAAATTTTTGAGGGCGATTACCTTATAATCATAATGTTTATAACTGCAAGAATAGCCGGTTGTGCACGGATTGTTCCGACCATCTTATTTAAAAACATTGTTTTTAATTTTTTTTTGCTTTTTTGTGCTCGATGTAAAAAGAGGAGCTAACAAAACATTTAGACCATTATCATTTAGACCATTATCATCCTTAACTGACTGCAGCTGTCTTTTAAAGACAATAACAAAACAAAAAATAATATCAGAGATGTTTCTGAAAGTTTTTCAAATTGTTTTTCAAATTATCTGAAAGTTTTCAAATTGTTTTTCAAATTATCTGAAAGTTTTTTCAAGTGCCAGCGAGGTTCTATGTTAGATGAGTATTCAAGAGCTACGTTTTCTTAACTAAAACTATGTGTTCTATAGTTTAAATAATCGATTGTCTTAAAAACAAAAAAAATTCAAACTGAAAAGCAAAAAACTGGAAAACTTTTAACTGAGAAAATTTTTCAATGTCGTTCAAAAGGTTTTAATATGATATATCACTCGACCTTTTTTAAATTATTTGTGGCACCTGATTTTTTTTGCAACAAAAAAATCCCGAGGACATATATTCAGGGTCTATTCTCATGCGCGAAGGACCGAATGCGCGAAAAAAACTCGCGAGCGAATGACCGAAAACAAAATTAGCCGAAAGACAAATTTTAAAAAGAAGCAAATGTCATTCAATTAAACGAAGCAATTGAGTTAGGTTCGAGTTGGTTAACTCATAGAGTAATTTCGGATAGGGTACACCGTCTGCTCGTCACGCTATCTTATTTTCGGCCGGATAGATTCGTGCAACTTCTTAGTCTAATACCGATCCTAATCTTACTCTTATACTATCTAGTCTCAGGTTGTTTAACTAGTCTCTGCTAGGCTCAATAGATCTAGGGTATACTGGTTTATTGCGGCTGCTGAAGTGCTCGGGAGAGTCCAACTAATTTCTAAGTTAAATTCAAATCTCTCTGGTGCTGAAATTACAAGTAACTTCAGCACTTACAAATAAGTGGGTTGTTAGTTAGATGGATCATGATTGGTTAATATTAAATACTTTACATTGGTAAAATATCTAAATTATCCAATCATAAAATGTAGTTTAGATCAGGTTCCACCCATCCGGGTTTTACAGAGTTTTTTAGAATAGTTCTTCTGCAATTCGAAGGATGGATGATGAAAGTTGGTGTTTGGCGAACATCTTATTTCTTCTGTTTCCTTTTTGTTAAAGAAGTTCCAGGAAGCTGGAGTTAGAGACATAAGACGTTGTGTCTTCTAGTGACAACGACTAAGTCTTTGCCACAAACTCAAATCTGATTTCAGAATGGTTTGCTATGTCAGGTTTTTCTGTTCTGCGTGGAGATTGTGCGTGGAGGGGATGCCTGGTTACTCGGATCTGTACGTATACTTGAACATCGAGGTGGTCATTGGTCTAGTTCAATGAAGTCCTTTTCTGCGAAGTCAAGTCGTACTCTAAATCCTTTGAGTTGTGATTGTGAGTGGCATATCGATTGTGGTTGGTCATTCTCTCTCGAGCGTAGTGGGGTCGTTTTGTTTTTAGATGTTCGTCCTTGGTGTTGTATCCTGATCTATGTATTGCATAATGTAATTTACATTTTATAAAACATTTATTAGTTTAATATTTTTTAATTATGATTTTAGTTAGTTGTTTTCACAAAAGCTTTTTGTTTTAGTTCGGTTATTTTGAAGAGTTACTCACACTTGAGTAGCTCTTATTAAAAATAGAGGTGTGGTCACAAAGCGTGGATGTAGCGCGGTGGGTTAGGCCGGCTATAGTGCATGCTCAGGACGTCCTTCCTGGTGGGTTAGGCCAGGAGTGGGAGTATGATTTCATGCGGTTTTTGTGAGGGGTCCTGTTATGTGACAACGTTTTATGTTGGGTTTGTTGTGGTTTTTCTTATGTCTTGTTGGTTATGTCCTTTTTCCAAAAATCAAATTGTTTGTGGTATGGGTTTGTCTTTCGACTTTTTTGTGTTTTATTATTTCTTTCTTAGACTTTATAATAGTCTTCAAAAGAATAAATTATCCAGTTTTAAACTGGGTTAATCCGGTTTGGGTACCGTTGGTTTCCTTTTCTTAGTCATGCTGTTATTCTATGATTTGTGGTATTTAGTAAGCTGCGTTGGTTAGTTTTGTTTAGTATGTGATTCCTTTCCAACCGGGTTAAAGGAAAGTTTGAAACATGTTATTATATGTTAGAGTTGTTGAGTGTGAAAACTTGAAACTGAAATTCATTATTTTAAACAATTCTTCGTGGGCGAGCTGTGCGAGTGTGGATAGAATTTCTGTGCGAATGAATGAAAATATCAAAAGGTTAGTACTGCAATTGCATTTTATTAATTTACTGCATAGAATTTGGAAATTTACTGCTAGTTATGGGGGAATTTTAAGTTACAAATTTTCATTATAATTAGATTTACTGCTTGTGGGGAAAATTTTAGAAATGAATTTACTGCATTGGTATTAAATTTATAAATTTATAAGTGTAAGAGATTAATAGAATTGTTGAAATCTGTTTGATGAAATTTGCGATCTTTATTTGTTTTTTGTGGTTTTTGTAGGTGATCGTCGGATGAAGACTAAAAATCTAAAGAAAACATGGATAAAGAATGGTGAGTTTTTAATATTTTAATTAGTTAGTAATATTCATTTAATTCATACTTACCTGTTAGTCGTCGGGGAAAAAACCGTGGGGGAAGATGTCGTGAATTAGTTCTGAAGTTGTTAGTAGTTTAGCTAAGATGCGGATGATATTTTTAGTCTGAAGCAGTGGCCAAAGCAATTGAAGTGCCTTGATAGTGGTTAGTTCTTCAGTGCCAACTGCAAACTCATAAGGTGTGTTTTGGATTAGATTATATAATTTGTGATTGAATTTAGTGTTGTGAATGAATTCTAAAATTGGGATTTCTATAGGTTGTACAAACTCGTGCGGGATAAGGAAGGGTCGGGATTCTTCGGCGTTGAAGGTCTTGGTGATGGGACAGAAGATGTACATTTGGGTTATGGGGTCATAATTACGAAGAATACCATGAAGGTTAGTATCTTTAATGCAATATGTGAAATTTAGGAAAAATGGTGAAGTGTATTTGGAATTAATGAATTGAAAACGATGGTGTGGTTGTCTAGAGGGTGTGTGTAGGTCAAAGTGATTTTGGATGAAGCGATAATAACTATATGTGTGGGTTTGTTTAGTGCGCAACATAATATCGTGTGAGCAGTGTAAATCTCTTTCGTGTGGTGCAAGGAAATGAAAGGTTAGTGAAAATATTTGGAAGCGTTCTTTAAAACTTTCGTATGCTTGTGTGTCTGTTAGTGCTTCTGAAATAATGTGATCAAACTTTCGGTCGAAGATGTTTAGTGTGAATATATATGGTGTCTTGATGAAAAATTTCTCGGTAATTTGTGGATTAGCGAAGCGATCGTCGTCTAAGAATTGATCTTGGTTAGCTCTGATGATGTTGTGATCATAGTATTCGAGTGTATATTCGTTAGCTCTAGGTGCAGTGTGTGTTTTTAGTGATTTTTTATATCCAACGTAAGTAAATTGTCTAGCGGTTAGTGGTGTAGTGAGTCGATATAGCATGTCCGTATTTCGCTCTATATCGATGTGAGTGTTAGATAAAGGTAAGCAAAGAGGGTTAGTAAAATGATAATATGAGGTCCAAGAGAGAGTGGGCATTAAAACGTATTCATCTACAAAGTTGCGTATTTCGTTAGTGTCGTGGGGGGTGTTTAAGGTGTATTGTGGGAATGAGGGTAAGGTGATGGCTAAAAATTCTTTTGTGTTAGTATGCTTGGGGTGGTTGATGTATTCACGGGCTGTTCCTGGTTTTGCTGGGAAAGGATGGTTGGGGAACTTTCTTTTAAAAGTGCGGTAAGCTCTATTAGTGTTGAGTGAAGATTCAGTTGATGTGGATGATGGTGCTAATGATTCAGTATAATTTGAAGAGGGTGTAGGGGTAGGGGGATTGGATGAATTTATAGTGGAGGAGATTTGGTTTATGGTTGGGGTATTAAGGTGGTAGGGTTGTTGTTGGAGGGTAATAAAATTATCTAGCTCTGGGGAGATTCGGGGGGTGTCTGGAGAATGAGATGATTGGTCAGAATGGTATGAGGAGTAGGTTGGGGTAACTTGGGAAGCATAAGAGGGTGTGGAAGTGATTGGGTCAGGGTTATTGGATAATATGGGTTGAAAAGGGGGTTGAGAAAAATTAGAAGAATTATGAAAATGATTTGATGGGGATGGTTCTGAGTCGGCAAATTCATCGGGGGTTTCAATATTCGGGTTATTGAGTTGTGAGATGGAATATAAAACTGAGATGTGTGAATTAGTGTCGGAATTCATGCCTGATGTTACATTACTAGGTGGAAAATCGGGTGGCGGGAAAGCAAAAAGTGGTATTATTGGGATTGGAGAGGTAAGATTGGTTGGGTGGGAATTTGATCGGTGTAGTGATCCAAGTTGGCGGCTCATCGTGGGCTAAAAAAATGATTATTTTGAGACTGAAAAGCGGTGGTATGGGGCTGTTCAATAATTTGTTCATAAGTATTTTGATCTTGTGACTGGTGTGTCATTATATGTTGAATGGGACTTTGTGATGTGGTGAGTCGAAAATTTGGATTATGTGTGATGGCTAAATTTCGAAAATTTCGTGGGACTAGGGATAGTGGATGGTTATTTGGTAGGGGTGGTAATTGTGGTGCCGTTGGCGTTATGTCTACATTGTTATGTTCTT